CTGGGTATCTTCTGTACTATTACCACTTAGGTCCATCTTATCTCTATCTGGATGCTCCGGTATTAAGCTGCTAAGATCTTTATCTTCCTGGTACACTGGAATGTCCTTTAGAATTTTTGATGGCACCTTGTGTCTATTTAGAATTAGTGTTAGTTGTTCCTCACTAGCAGGCAGGAGGTCGTCCTTGAGGTCGCTCAAGTCTCCTGAGAATATCTGGTTCTTATCTGTTATCACATCACGCATAGCGTGGACCTTGCTAGTTAATGGGTTCCAGACTAGATAGATATTGGTTGAGTTATATTCCACAAGATAGCTAAACCAGGCTTTCGGGTTCAGCTTCTTCAGACGGTCCTTCTTCTCCTGTGCGGCGGCAGTCATTGCGAACATCTTATAGCTATACGCTTGTAGGTAGGCATGTATTGGCCTGCAGTCAAAGGTAACTAGGCCGTCTCGAAATGACAGATATTGGAAGAACATCTTGTATGGGTCTTCCAGTTGTGGTGCCAGGATGGTGTTCGGTTGTGGAGATATACTGCTGCAGTGTAGATGTGACGCCAAAGATATGTTGGAAGCTTGGCTTTACTGCGCATGGCAAAAGCTTTTGTTTTGATGACACCCCCCGAGCGCTCAGCGCCTCCATTTTGGTCTTGGGTATGAGGTGAAGAGGGCTCGATTCGGATATGATTGTCTTTGATGAAGTCCTGGATGTCTTTTAACTTGGTGAGCTTGTTATCTGTTTCTATAGCCTCAATATTGATCTGGAACTGTATCTTCAGTATATTAACGATGCTTTAGAGGGCGCCAACTATGTGTTTTGTAGTTCTCCTTTTCAAGAAGTACGCCCACACATATCCAGAGTATCTGTAAGTGACAAACATGATACTCCAGTAGCCATCTAAGTCCTTCTTAAGGTCAAGAAAGTCGATAGACAAGATGCTACCTGGCTTGGTAGACGGTCGCCTAGGTGTTCTGTATGTCTGTTTCTTGATTTTGGCCTTGCCACACCCGTCACACTGAGCAGTAGAGGGACCCTTGATTCTTACTCCTTTAGCATGCTTTGTGATCTTGGCGATTACTTCAGGGCCAGGATGCCCTAGTCGCCAGTGCCAAAGGTTCTTGTCACCCTTATTTGGAGCTCTTTCTGTTCTGGAGTTGATCATCTTCCTCCGTAGGGCAAAGGACGCTTTGGTTTCGTCTAGTGGTATGTTTTCCACAACCCATTGCCCAAACTTATCCGTGAGTTTGAACACCACTGAATCATCCTTTCGCCTGACACAGTTGTTAGGTGATTTGTTGTCCTAGTAGTATCCAAGCTTCTTAAGCTGCTGTAAAGATACAAGGTTTGTCGCGAATCCTTCACAGAAGGCGACGTTCCGTAGCGTCAAGATGAATGGTCCTAGTGAGTCATGAGCAGTAATATCTACTTCTCCGTATCCTAGGATTGGTATGAAGGTGTCTCTTGCGTACACTCCATCACCTGTTAGGGCTCTATGAAAGTTGTTGAAGCAAGTGATAACATTGTGGATCCCAGCCACTGGATCCAGCCACGGCACCTTATCGGATACCCTGTCATCTAGGGCGGTCTACGATAAGGTTGCCTAGGCTGGCTGCCCAAGGTGACAGGTACCAAGGCACTGTAATTTAGGTATTTAGATACTTCTCGGATAGGATCCCTTCCCACTCAAACTTAGTCAAGTACCAACCAGAACACAGATCATCCCAACCAAGACTTGTGATAGATCTCCGTTCTGGTTCCGCTACCACGAAGATACAACGTTGAAGATATGTAAGGTTGTGCAAGAGTCAAGGATTGACGAGTTGAGTAAGGGGTAAAGGATGGTTGCGTAGGAGGACTTCGTGTTATTTGCTAGGTAAGATGCTGCGGCCTTCTTTGCGTGCTTTGGTACATGTTGTACTCTCTCGCCCTTTTCCACGAGTCAATCGCGCAGTTTCTGTCTCTTGAAAATTCGTGCCACTTCCTCAGATAGATTGTTGTCTCTTTCAAGCAGTATTTTGACCATTCGCTCCACACCGTGGTGGGCTTTCTATTCATTTGGTCGCTTATTTGGAAAGAAGTAAAAGCACTTTATGAAGTAGTGCCCTTTACAATGGCATCCCTTGCATGCTTGAGGGGTTGAGGGAGCTTCTTTGTTGTCTCGACCCCTTTTGCCAGAAGCTCCCTGACTTCTTGCTCTGAAACCTCCTCTTTATCTACCCTTTGAGCCCCCTTGCTGTCTCTGGTTGTTGTTTCCTCTATTGCGGCCTCTGTCTCTTGCGTCTGATCGCTCTTGAGGATGCTCCTTTTCTCTCTTGTCTCTAATTGAGTCTCTTGTATTATCAGGCTGTTCTCTATAAAGGGCTGGGAAACCCGCTTTCCATCCTTTTAAAGGATTGGTAATAGCGCGCATTGTTATCCAGTTGTTGTAGAGGTTAGAGGCTATCTGGGAGTACAAAATCCTACCTTTAAGCACTCCTTCCTTCTTGTTTGCCCTGGCTTGAAAAGACCAATTGGAGTTCATCAAGGCGACAGCGATTATGGAGTTATTAAACCAGTTGCTGGAGATAGAGCCTCGGGGACACTGGCTTTCATAGCCCTGGCCATAACCAATTCCCATTCTTTAATCCAGCTGACAAAATCCTTTTCTTTTTTCTTCTGTACTCCCTTGTTGACTGTTGATATAATGGCACGATAGTCGACTTGGGCCTGGTGAATGATGTTCTCACTGTAGATGGCTCCTTTAGTTGCGAGCTCTTGGTACCACTGGCGGAGGTTTTGTTTAGAGAGTAGTTTGGTCTCCTGTATGGTAGGATTAACGGTTTTGAGAGTCCACTTAGTAAGTTTGGGTATGGAGGCCTTAGTTCTCTGATAGATCTCGTCTTTGTGCTCAAATAGGACGACATTCATCTTGAAGTCAGCTGCTCCTTCTGTTATAAGGTGTGAAGCAAGGACTTGTCCCTCCTCCACTGCTGTTTAAGCAGTTCTGGTAGACTTCTTTGAATACCCTCCGGATAGGATATCCGGAGGTGTTAGTGCTGTTGGTCATGGAGTAGTTACTCCTGGCTCGATATGTTGCCAGATGCCAAGTACTTCAGCACTTTTCTGGAATTGGAGTCCCTAGCTGGCAAAGTCCTTTCGAAACCGATAGTACGCAGTTGCGTTCTGGGTTGAAATTGTGATATTCATCTTGAAATGGTTGTACGATACATGTATTCAAAATATGGATGCCGGTTGCATAGATTCAATGAGACTCTTAATTGTTGAATACACGGATGTTGATTGATTCTATTGATTGTTCTGCTCTGCGTGCAGAGATTGATCATCTGTCTTCTTGGTGGGTCAGATGCTGTCAGATAAAACAGATAAGAACATTGTGCACAGAATGACTGCACACCTTACCCTTTTGGTCTAGGGGTAAAATCCAACAATTAAAAGTCTCATCGCTTGACGAGCTAGCTGCGCACGGCGCAAGCTAAAGGTTCCACTAGACCCAGCTTTTAGAAAGGCGCGAATTAGATTCCCGTAGAGGTCTAATAGCAACGAACAGAAGAAAAGTCCAGCTTACCTACGAAGTCATCGCAGCCAAGCTGAAGGGGTGTGTCAGATAAAACAGATAAGAACATCGTACGCAGAATGACTGCACACCTTACCCTTTTGGTCTAGGAGTAAAATCCAACAGATGCCCTGTGCGTCTCTGCCTCACTGGAGATCTTCTGGTGTCTATCTCCGGCTCACATTCATAACAGCTACCGCTCAACACCACCGGCTTGTCAACCTTTGGTAATCTGACAAAAGGTAAGAACAAAAATATATTACTCTTATAACATTTTATATAGAAGAGATTTATAAAAGTAATAGTAGGAATATATCAGTTGATTAAACAAGCGGAAATATATTAATAAATTAATATTACGATGGATTTAAAACTTACCTACCAATAATATAAATATTACATATTATTTATATATAAAAGTGGTTTATTTAAACATACTTATGACATAGAATCATTAATATTTAACTTAATTTAAACTATGCGGTATCTACTTTTTAAGTACGTATAAAAAATATTATAAAAGCGAAATTATAAATAAATAAAAAGACGATTATATAATAAATCGAATTATTTGAAGTATTTTTCGATATTAAAAGCGGTTAAAATATACCTTAGTTTTAAAGAATCTTTTACTTTAAAAGCTTCTAAAAGCTTTACTTTTTATATATGTGGCATTTTTAATAGTTTACGAGGATGTGTTGCTGCTTAAGGTTACCGCCTTGGGGCATTATATGGCTTTTAGCCTACCTTTAGTGCTAGTTGCCTCCTTACGCAGATTTATAACCTGAATACAGCAGTTTTGCCTTGTAACAATGAGAGAGCATGGCATTTAAGGAGGAAAGGGTTGACAAGACATGGCAGAGGGCTCCATTCTAGTGGCTTCAGCTTCCGCTTCCCTTAGGACACATCACCACCACCAGTACAAGGGCGGGACTCCTCGGTGGTCGTGGTGGTCAAGGGGCCATGGAACTCTTCGAATCTAATTCAAGCTACGCTGCAGTGCCATATTCGAAGCCCTTCTTGACGGGGCGCATCGTATGGGCGTCCCGACCAACCTGAGCCAGCGAGGCTGGATGTAGAGAAATTGGCTGTCGGCCGGCCAAATCCATCCACCCTCCAGCCGAGGGGTGGAATTGTGTACTATGGCCCATTTAACACTACGTAGAGCAACTCAACTGGATGTGTCTTGTTTACCTAGTCTGGACATTGAATGTTGTCCGGTGGCATGACCTAGGTTAGTTCATTGAGAGCATCACTCGATTGTCATGGACAGCCCATGAGTTGTTCGACTGTGCTGTACCGATGAGACAAGAGGCTAACAGCCCGAATACAGCACAAAGTCAATATAAATCTGAAATGTTCACGTTCATAAAATGGTATGTGCGTGCATGTGATGAACCATTGCAATCAATATATACACCACTCCCGGCGCTAGCCCCTGAAGACACCTTACTTCTTGCCCGCACGTTTGCGCATCTGCTTCTCGCGCTCGTACGCATTCGCCTCGCGGCCCTCCTCGCCCTGGATCTCGGCGACGAGCCTCTTGTACTTCTTCTCGTACGCGGCGTCCTTCGCCTTCTTGACTTTGAGCTGCTCGCGGGCCATGAAGCTGGCGTCCTTCCTCAGCTCCCGCATGGCGCCCTTGCGCTCCTTCTTGTGCTCCGCCTTGAGCTTGGACAGCTCGGCTCGGTCCCGGTCGCCGTCGTAGTGCTTCTTGGGGTCGTACGATTCCTCGAATTTGGGTATGGCCGTCTTGATGGCTAGAGGCCTGTGGTGATGCAGCTCGAGTGGTCTGCGTGCCATTCGCGCCATTCGGAGCATCGTATCCAGCTTTGCTTGCAACTTCCTTATGCGCTCATTCAATGCAGCTGGAAGCTCAGCTTTGCATGTCGCTAGATGTGCGAGAACTTTGCTGACAGGCCGGAATGATTCCTCAAACGCCACCTTACCGCTGTATAGGTCTGCAGCACTATCCACCAATTGGACCGTGGTAGCCATAATCGCCACCAATGTTAACGATTCCTCATCGTCGGATCTCTTTTCTGCGACACAGTCTGCAGGCATGAGCTTCCTTACTTCAACCTTCTTAGCATTGGTGATACGAATGCCAGCATCGTGGGTTGGACAGCATGCTAGCTTTTCAAATTTTGTTGGTGCCAGGGTGGCTAAGGTATTGAGACATGAATTCATGAATTCTGGTACCCATCTCTTAGAGAGTTGTTGGTACTGCAAAGCCAGTGTGCACTATACCACCTGAGATTAGTCTTTGTATCAAGCAGAAACCCCCGCCAACTTTAGCAGCCATTTGAGAGCTGAGCCAGAATACCTTCGGAACACTTGCTCATGGCGCAGAAAAGGAGAGCGGATCAAACCTGGAAGCGACTCACCATAAATGTGCTCTGACAATAGTCCGTCACTCTTTTAGGAACCTTCTGACCAAGGAAACGTGCGATGACAAGCATAGCTGGACTCGTTACCTGATGGAACGAATCACTCGGTGGGAAGACGACAGACATTGCCATCAATGATACAAGATCGCCAAGATCAGGAGAGAGTGGCCTTTCACTGAATTCAGTTATTTGTGACCGAAACTCATTCGCAATCTCAACAGGAAAAGCCTTCGCCATAGAATGAATATGACGGATGATGTCCTCCAGAGTAGCGTAAACTGATTCCGGGAGATTCGACAAATATCTCAAGTCTGGTTGGCTCGTTAGTTTCAAATTCTATGCCATGGTCTGCATTTCCGGAATTTTCTCATCCCACGAGAGGGGATCTCGTTGTACGTACTATGAAGAGGTCAGTATTCCAGATCCAAGCCTGCCCAAACTTTAATACTGAATTCAACGCACCATTGTGTTAGGACCTGAGAAAATTTAGCCAGTTTCGATTTGTTCTCGCTTTTCAGTTTGGGATGATGAAGTATTCGGATCGATCGTATCATCGACGGAATTTGTTGCGCAGTTAAGCCCTCGGAAATACCAATGAGCTCATCCAGAGTCTGTGGACATATATATGAAGGTTCGCTTGTGTTGTCCTTGGTGCCATTGGCCTGGTTGTTGAAAGTGGGGTTTCGTGCTTCAAGCTCGTCAAGAAGTCCCTTGGTGAATTCATCATCATCATCCTCGTCTGCATCAGATTCTGAATCCTCATCAGACGATTCAATCGGTTCGAGCTCTGAGCCGCTTGCGATAATATCTTCGATCAGGAAATCGTCTTCATCGTCGCCGAGTCCCAGTTCTGTCGCTGTGGGCCGTGTGCGGATGCCGGCCCCAAGACCGAAAGTGTCCCGCTCTTCGGTCTCAACGAACATGTTTCCCTGGTTGGCTGTCTCCTTGTCCGGCTCAGCATCGCCATCTTCGCTCTCTTCCCCGCGGTCACTCTCCTCTCCGCGCATCCTCATTAGCCTTTTCTCTTCGAGCTCCTTGAGCTTTTGGACTTCCATTCGAGCTTGTTCTTCGTCCGTTTTCTGGCGGAGCGTTAGTATGACGAAATCTGGTAGATTGCGTCCATGACCCTCCACTTACAGTTCTTTCCGAGGCTTGTGCCCTTCTATCTAGAGCAAGTTGCCTCAGCCGTAGATCGTAATCACGTTCCATCTTATCCTTTCCGGTGGCTTCGGACTCTGGCACTGAACCGTCGACTTCACCTCCTTTCGTGCGCTTGGGCCCGGTAAGCAGCAGAGCTTGAAGGGACTGGAAATCATGGTCCAGCTCATCTCTAAACAAGAGTCAGTCATTGCACGAAGGAAATTGAGAGTGTTCTTATGCGCCGCCGGACTACAACTGCCAGAGTGAAGACCAGTGGTGACACCCGACACTGCATTTTGAACAAGGATAGACAGGATCTTTTGACTAACCTGAGATCGTCGTCCGCGTCCTTCGTTTGTTGTCTTTCCGCCTTGTAGAACTTGGACTTAGCAATGACTAAGAGACACGGGTTAGTTACGACTGATCCTTCGACCTAACTCCGAAGGTGCTTGATATCAACTTGAGCGGTTTCGAACCGGCCAGGGACGCTGGTTGGCCTAGAAGGGCAACTCCTGCAAGATGTATTCAATGACATCAGTAGCTCGACGGACTGACCTTCTTTCATCACTTCTTGCTTTGTCTTCTTCCTCTCGGGTTGACCTTCTGGTACATCTTCGTCGTCGTCGTCCGAATCGGCGGAGCGCATTCGCTTCAATACGTTTTGATCGTCGTCGGAAGCGTCATCGTCAGATCCAGCAAGGTCGGCCTCGTCGAAATCGTCGAACGACAATGACTTGCCCATATGCGTCAAACCCTCACTGGGTTCGTCATCTTCTAAGTCGAACATGGAGTTGCCCTTCTGACTCTGTTTCTCACGGACGAATCGCTGTTGCATTTTCTCCTCGGGGGTGATTGTAGTGTCGTTTTCGCCCCATCTCCTATCGAGTATACCGCCAACTTTCTTTCGGCGGTTCATTTCGACAAGAAGAGTTTGCCGCCGCTGTGAACGTTTGGTCAGCTTCAAGGCTGTTTGTGGTACGTGCGACATGTGATATCACATACCCTTTCCTCGCCCAAAGCCTTCGCATCGCTGGGTCTGCCACTGATCCCCTTATCCTTCCCAGCCGTGGGCCTATTGCTAGTCACCTCGAATTTGGGACCGCGGACGTTGTGCTTGAGGTCGAAAGGGTTGAACTCTTGTCGAATGCCTTCCAATGCCGCGGCCTTCTGGAGGCGCTTGCCGCCGCTCGCCTTCCCATCCTGGGCGTTTCTTCGCTTCTGTTTTTTGCTTTGCTGCGGACCGATGACGCCAGAATCACGCAACGTGGCCTTCAGTTTCTTCAGTTGAGAGGGCATCGTGGCTTGATTTGCGACAAAGTCATGCGCAGGAGGGCAGTTCGGAGGGGTGCGTTTCTAAGTAGCTGCCATTACTTTTTTTGCCAGGACAATTTGCTATCTTATCTTATCTTATCGCACCGCCCCACCCATGATTTCACCCTTGTCTCGAGCTGTGTGCTACATGTACCTACGTCAGGTACCTTCGTGTGCTTCTACCTCGACGTGCTCCCACCTTGATGGTTACCTATTTCATCTTCGCAGGTCATGTTCTACCTCGTTCATCATCCGCATTCATCAGTATGACCATCGTATAATGCCGCGAAAATGGGGTTCCTATCATTTGTACGAGATGAGCGCATTGTTGCAGTTGGCCTCGGCGTTGCTACAGCGGCCAGTCTCATCGCGATGTGCGTGATCCTCGAGCACTATAGGGACGAAGCCGAGATCAAACCGACACAACCGAAGACCCAGTACATCACCCAAGACACCGAAGACTCGCTTCAAATCGGCACTCTGCAGAGCCTGCTGAATCACTACAACTTCGCGATACGAGATACGGCGCTGAAGATCGTTGCCGGACGAGCAGTTAATGATGGCTCAGTCATTGACGATCTGCTATGGGGCATCACCCGCGAGGACTACGAGGAGCGTATGAAGTGCCTGAGAACGCTTGCCTTCGCTGTGGAAGACAGTATGAGCGCCCGTTTCTTCTTGTGACGGCGGTCAGCTAATCTTTTTGCAGAGGAGACTCTCCAGGATCCGCTAAGCGTGCTCAACACGCCCAAAGGCTACAGCGCCATCGTCCGATCGCTCGAAATATGCCTCGATGATACAGAGCACGCGACTCTCGACGACCCGCTGTACGACGAATACTACCTGCGCGACATTGGCGAGCGACGCTGCCTCTTGTTGGCCCACCAGCTTATCCACAAGTACGATGTGGACAAGCTTATCGAAGCCAAGTTCATTGATAAATGGCTTGCCAAACAACCATGGGGCGACACAGAGAAGGAAAGGCGTAACAACTTCGCCATGTACATGAACCGCAGAAAAAATCGAATCCGCGATATCTGCCTTTGTCTCCAGGCGACCAAAGCAGGCAGGAAAGCTCTGGTGAAAGCGAAGCTGATCACCAAAACCAAACGGCCGAAGTGGGACAGATCCGATCACATCCAAGTCGTCCTGGAGTTTAGTATGGGCAGTGATGGCGATGGCGACGGTATACAACTTCGGAATACTGAACTCGTCCCGCGTGTGAACGAACAGAGTGTTGAGGAACAACGCCTCCGCCGAAGACATCGGGAGGCCATGGTGCTGAACGACGGGACACACTCACTTGGGCGTGGCGATATCATCGAGCGAGAGCATGACTCTAACGGCTGAACATGACCTGCTCGTTGATGATGGCCATTTCCAGAGCCTGGCAATCTTCTCGAGAACCATTGGAAAACGAAGTTGCTCGGCTGGATTGACATAATCCTGTCGTTCGGGACCCGCGTTGTATGAGGCACAGAAGGAGGCACAGAAGATGCTTTGGAAGCCCCGTACAAGCTTTTGGTCACAGGAAGAAGGGAGGATGCTACGTGGGAGGTGCCCAAGACTACCGAGCAGTATCTTCAACTATGCTGTGTTGATGCCACTACACTTTGGTCGAAGGCTCATGCCGAGGTTGCCAAGTCACATGGGCTTTGCAGCCACTTGGACCTTGTGAGTTGTGGGAAGTAGAGACGACGGGGGGTGGTGGTCTCTGTAGACTACAGATCATTGTGCTGTGACGATGCATCCAATGCACATTGGTGTCCAGCTCTGCCTAGTTTACACATCCTTACAAATACAATAAGTGCTTTGTATCCCAGCTTCATGATCGAAGGCATAACAATAGTTTCCCGGCTTGTTCAGGGGTTTCCAAGCTCAAGTAGCAAACAACTTGAAGCGGGCACGGTGACCGGCGAGACCGGCGGGCTGGGACATGATGAGATGAAGCTGTGGACTGTCCATTCACCCCGAAGCCTGATTGGGCTAGAAGCCGTTACATTCGTAGTTCCGTGGCGGCGTGGCCAGTGCTCACCGCACTTTTAGCTCCAGGTCCACCACCATCTCAGGGGTCAGGGGTCAAAAACGGCGCGGCTTCTGCCCACAGACATGGGAACGCCAGGAACGCACGAAGACTCTGACGCAATGCCATCTTCAACCTTTGAACAGGTCAGATATTCATACAACCAATTATGGGACTTAATATAGGATTTTACCCGATGTAACGAATTTTCCGAGCTGTCAAATCTTTTAATCTCCGACTGCAATTAAGCATGGAGCTGACCATTGGGTTTGTATTCTGTCCTGACTCTGTCAAGGAAGCACCGGCAAGGCGGGATTACGATTACCTACTATTTCCATACTCCCTCCAGCTCCTCTCGCATGCACCTGGCTGTGTTTACGCGTTTCCAATGTAAACAAAGGCTGGCGCAACAGCACCTTATCATGTGGCTAATCTCTAAAGGAGGCCAATGAGGTTATTCTGCCCGCAGCAACCCGTTCCTCATCGCGTCAGGGGCTGCAGGCTTGCAGCAGCTCCTCCGCCTGACCACAGTAGCGTGAGGGGATCCAGAGATGGGATTCGCTGTATGCAGCTTGTGGTCGTCGACCATGTTAGCGATGTTGCGCCAGGACTCTGAAGGAGAAGCCCGGTCACGACAGCACTGCCCGCAGCATACGCGCCTGACCTATTACCTCCACGAATTGCTCTAAGCTTCCCCGTACAGTGTGACAGTGCTGGCCTCGGTATCTGCTCCGTATGGCTTCGGGGAGCCGAGACCCACGAGACCGCAGATGGAGATGCATATTCCAGTACTAGACAGGCATCAAGCAGCTCGAAATAGATCCTTTTTGACCTTGAGCCGTGTTGCTGTGCTGTACATAAAGGGCAAGTCAACAACAACAACCTTCCCAGATACTCCTATTGCTCTTGTTGGTCTGTCCATTGACTCTGAAACCCCGTCGAAATCAATGATGGTCCTGTTCTCTTGTCATATATGACAGGCTGGAACGCATGCAACGGCTCACGGCTCTCGACCAAAGTCCCCTCTTCGTGACGGTTGACCGCTCTCTCCTAAAGTTGAAAGTTGACAGTCCCCAGCAGCGGCATATTGACCCTGGCATATCACTCCGCAAGATCATCGCCGAGAAGTATCTCCCAAGGGTCCGTCCGGGTAACGGTCATCGCCCTGACGATTCAAGGGTGCCGAGCTGCCACCCAGTCTGCAATTTAAACACAAACACAATTCCTCAACACCCATCTCTGCTCTCCTCTGCTCCAGTCCCCAGACCTTTCGTTTGTCTACCTTGACCTTCAAGCCGCACCCACACTCGTTCGACCTCGCAGCAGCAGCAACCTGGGATGTTTCTACAATGGTAGACCTCATTGCAGACCCTCTGCCTCTCAACATCCATACCTACCATCACTTCTGAAGATATCAGGTCCCTCCAGGCTGCCACAACGCTTGTTTCGTGTAAGTCGCCCTCTGCTTTGTTATCGATGAATGATTTCTACCGACGTCTGGGATGCCTCCTTCCGCCAGCTGCTTGGCCGGCTCGCATACTCCCGTCCCGTCATGGTACCGATTGCTCGGAATTGGTTGGCTCACGGCTCACAAGAAAAGAGGCCTGCACTTCCAAGTTCCACGCGACCGCGAAGGAGAAAGAAGGGACACACCACTAATAATTGTAACTAGTGACCAGCTTTTTACCGCGTTGGGCCGGTTTTGTGGAATCAGGAGCTGCTGCCAGCAGTGTCATTGGGCGAATCCAGACGGGCCCCCGCCTGATTGGCCTACCTCGGCCAATAGTCAACGGCGAAAAATAACACGGCAGACCACAGCCCCCGGGAAGGGAAGGCAAGGGGAGAAAGAGGTTGCCCACCATGGCGTCGACGGCAGCGCCTTTCTCTCTGCAACACCACCACCACCAACAACAAAGACCTAAGACCCCTAAGACCCTGTCTCGGAAGGGCAGAATTAGTGGCATTGCTACCGCCTCAACCCCCAACTTAAGTAGTGTCTACTCGTCGCATTCCCGTCTTGTCCCTGGCCCTGGCTCTGCTCTCGCGCGCAAGGCTTCCTTCGCAGCCCTCACCCCCGGCTCGCTGGCTACCATCCCCGATGACTCCGAAAGCTACGCCATCGACAGTGTCCTGAACGACGACGACATGCGCAGGATGCCGCCGCCGTTGACTCCTAGGAAGGGCGCCGGTGCCGGTGACGATTTTGCGCTGGGCGACGTTGTTGATGTTCCGGGTTCAATGAGCGGGATCGTCCGCTTTGTAGGTTCGGTTGGCGGGAAGAAGGGAACCTTTGCTGGCGTCGAACTACACCCGGAATTTCTGGCGCGCGGCAAGAATAGTGGCGACGTCGACGGGTAAAGTTTATTCATTTCATATCAATCTGCTCACCCGCTCCGCCATCCAACGGCAGTGAAGTGGCGTTTGCCTTTAAGGTTATGCTTTACTAACCAACACCTCTTCTTCTTAGCGTCACCTACTTCACAACCTCGGTTCCTGGTGCTGGCATCTTTGTGCCTATCAACAAGATCTTCAAACGCGACTCGCCCCCGACGTTCGGCAAGTCGTATTCGCGCACGCCAAATGGCAGCTCAATGGCCGCCTTAAAGGTTGCGAGTCAGAATACTACGAATCACACGCCTCCGACGCCATCATTGCCCAAGTTCAGCCAGTCTGTTGGTCCAGCCAGAGCTCCAAGCCCGCAAGGAAAACGGTCCCGGCCCTCCTTACCACGTCCCGAGTCCCCTATTCGCAAATTGCAGCTCACGCCCGCTCCTCGACCCTCCATCGCGACACCGGCCTCAAAACCACCTTCTCGCTACGGGAGTCCGACTGTATCTAAATTCGCTCAGAGCGTGCGCGGGACTGCCGGTGACCCGAACAAGACTTCGAGACTGGAGAGGAAGCCGAGTATAGCTAGAAGCGCCTCAGCTCTGGGCCAGATTCCCTCCAACTTTGACCCCTCCAGCTTTGACGAAGAGGAAGAGACTACGCCTGTGGGTATGCGCACCAAGACTAATGGAAGTATCGGCTCGATGTCATCGTTGAACCTCAAGCGCCCTGCGTCCCGTGCGACCCACGCAAACGAAGAGGAGGTCGAGCGCCTGAAATCCCAGCTCGATGACCGAGACCGACAATTGAGGGGGCAGGCATCTGCGTTGGCTGAAATGGAAAGTAGTCTTTCCGAGCTCACGGACTTGCTTGATCAACATGATGCTGGTAGAATGAGCAGCACGGATGAGAAGGACACTTCACAGCTTCGAGCGTTGCTTCGAGAGAAGAACGAGAAGATCTCGATCCTAACCTCCGAGTTCGATGTACATCGAGCTGACTTCCGAAGTACTATCGACACTCTCGAAATGGCTAGTACCGAGACGCAAAGAGTGTACGATGCCAAGATCCAGGAACTGGAACACGAGCAGGGACTCTGCGACGCCAGAATTCGGGAACTAGAACAAGAGCTGCACGACTCTCAGGATCGGCATGCAGATGTTGATAGCGTGGCTCGACAGCTTAAGATACTGGAGGAGCTTGTTCAAGAGCTCGAGGAAGGCTTGGAAGATGCTCGTCGTGGAGAAGCTGAAGCTCGCGGGGAGGTTGAGTTCCTGCGAGGTGAGGTTGAGCGGACCCGGTCTGAGCTGCGAAGAGAGCGCGAGAAGGCCTCTGCTTCCATTAATGGAGGTGATAAGGCGGGAGACCGGTCTTCCACGTCGAAAGATTTAGAACAGAAGGAGGACGAGATCAGAGGTCTGAAGGCTATCATCCACTCCCTCAGCAGAGACTCCATCCCGGGATCCGAGTCGCCAGAGAAGACACCTACCCCACTGCAACGGAGCAGTTCCTACATGAATGCTCGTCCCGATTCGCTCGATAGCCGCATGGCGAAGGAGAAGATGGAGCGAGAACTCTTCGAGCTACGCAGTCTGCTTGAAAACAAGAACAGTCGAGAGGAAGAACTCGAACGCGAGGTTGAGACCCTCAGACGTGGCAGTGCGTCGACGCAGCGCGGCAGCTCGATCACCGTAGGTAGCACCGACCGATCGTCGTTCCGCGACTCCAAAGGTACCGTCATTCTGGCACGTGAGGTGCGTTCGCCCGAGGCAGCACACAAACGGACAAAAACGCTAGACACGATGCCCGAGAGCGATGCGTACTCGTCCGTCACCGAGGCTAGCACCCTCTGGTGCGAGATATGCGACGTGGGTGGACATGACCTTCTTACGTGTACCAACATGTTTGGATCCCAGAATGAGCAGGGCAAACCTGGACATGGTGATCAAGCGTCGGGCAAGACCGGCAAGGACGTTGTCCGCGAGGGCCTCAACAACCTGGCAGTTCCCGCCGACGCTTCCGATGAGGACACGCCTCGGCCATTGTCTCCGATGAAAATTAAGACAGAAACAACACCGCCCCAGGCTACCGTCCAAATCTTGCCCAACCCGCAAGACTCTGGACCCCTGGCTGGCAAGGAGAGCGGAGTGATCGACGCCGCGAAGTGGTGTGCCCTGTGTGAGCGAGACGGGCATGACAGCATCGATTGTCCATTGGAAGATGCATTCTAGGCGTATCCTGTCGGTGTGGGTATATGGAAGAGCCTATTCAATGACGCGAGAAGGATGGAAGCTTCATTGCCAGGCAGTTGGAGAGACATGACGCAAGCACAGTCGAATTTTTACGTTATTCTCTTGTGTCTTGCTTTGGGCGTTGGACATGTCCTTTTCTAGGCGACATGAGGCACATGCATCACGACTGTTTCGGAGCGATGATACCACATACTTCGTTTTCCTCATACTGTTTGAGTACTATCCCCTTTCTGTTCAATTCTTGCATGGCGGCAGTCAAAGAAGCTACAGAGCTCGAAGAGTGCAACAGAAACGGGCGACTGCAGGAGGACCGGGCTTAATGATGAGCTTCAAGGTCCGAGTGATGGACTAGGTAGACGCATGATTCACCGCTGTATAATTATCAAACCTTGCAGATAAAATTTCAGGAGTGACTGAGGCATGTGGCCCGCCTTGTACAACTGTGTTTCCCTCTTAGCGGCCGCCGTTCTTGTATTCGTGTGCCATCCACGTACACTGAACCCTCATAAGTCTCCGTACACCATCCGTCCAGAATCAACTGTGTTCGAATCGGAATAAGCACACTGGGATAAGGATCAAGTAGCATATTAACTAGAGCTGCTTATTCTTGTATGCTTATTTTGATATTTCGAAATTTCCACGGTGGTGTGGAATCTCATCAACATGGCGCGTACAGAGACTTAGGAGGGCTGAGTGTACCGGAAGGTTTGCCTTTCCTGCAGGTCCTGTGTGCCTGCCGACACTGCACTGTACCTTTCCATATTAGTGGAAAGGAGCAACTGGTAATATCGCGTCACACTACCCAGTACCTTAGGTTCCTCAAGGTACCCAAAATCCCGGCTGGCAACTGCCTCAGTACCTACCCATTGATGGCCGTGTTTGGTGAATTCGACTTCCCCAAGCCAACAGACCAGTGGTGTGGTATTTCTTGTTGCCCACGACCGGTCTGACCCGCCGACTCGTACCAATACCAGAGTTACCTTAGGTTAGCGGTCCTCAGCCTAGCTGGCTTTCCTGGATACAGTACTTCACGTTGGTGGCCCCCTATCCTCACTCCCTATGAGCCCTATACGACGACCCTCTAGGCATCACCTATATCTCCCTTCTGCTGACCTTGCCACTCCGTCGCCCATTCACAGACCACCTTTTCTTCCGCTCCAGTCCCAGAGATTCAGAACTGGACCACCTACTCGACCATTGGCGCCTCTGACCATTGCGAAACAGACTTGCCTGAGAGCGATATCTACGAGTCACACCGTCAAGATGAGGTATGTTTTGTCTTTTGCTTCACTGTTGACCCACTCCATACACGAACCCGTCCTGCTTCACATTTTGTCACCGAGACGCCGAACTGCCCTACCTACACACATCTATATTCGTGGTGTTGGTGTCGTACTATCAGCTCTCCCGGCCCCGCACACCCGCCCTGTCAGCCTGTCCGCCCTGCCGCCCTACTACTATACCCCGCTGCCGCCCTGCCGCCCTGCCGAGTTTCAACAGCGAACCATGTCGCCCAATTGCAATTGCCTATTGGGGTCAATGGGATACCCTTGTCGACGAAGGAGCTCGGGGGCCCTGGGGAAGGAGGGAAGCTCTAGCAGTAGCTCCCGGCACCACTGCGTCACGAGTTCCCCAGCCTCCAGCCTCCAGCCGCCCACCTGCACCTGCATCATCCCCTCTGGAAGCTCAGCTGCACTTCCAACTTCCTTCGTACAACACAACACAACACAATCTTCCTCACCAGGCCATCGATCGCTACCTTATATATAACGTGGAGCTCGATATTGGTTCCCTTGCTTCATACTTGCTTCATTGGACCCCATGCTTATCTGCCATTGACAACAGTAACCCTGCCCCCGCCGACCACACCCTCCAGGACCTCGTCAAGGAGATCATCATGGGCGGCGAAATTGTCAGGCCTAAGGGCGCCTCGGCCGACTACCCGACCCATGCACCCACTCCCGTTGGGAAACGGATCAGCAAGATATACAAGGACCGCATCGAGCAGTTCTACTCGAGTGGACAATGGGAGAAGCGGAATCTCCTTGCTATGATGTACGAGGGCGTCGCCTCGGGCCCGCCCAATGTCCAGCTGTGGACCTGGCCCGCCTCGGGTCTCTCGAGACCGAGCTTCGAGGAGGCAATGGCTGGCGAATACACCCCAGCCAACGTCGGCGACGCCTTTGGCCCGTCTTGGTCCACGCATTGGTTCAAGGTCGTTCTTCGGGTACCCGACGACCTGTGCAAGAAAGAGCGTCTCGAGCTGCACTGGGACTCCAACAGCGAGGGCATGGTCTGGACCGACGATGGCAAGCCCTTGCAGGGGCTGAGTGGTGGTGGTGAACGTGTCGAGTGGATTCTTCCCGACTCTTTCAGAGACGGCGAAGAGCACACCATCTACGTTGAGATAGCCTGCAATAGTATGTTCGGCAATCCGGCTGGTGGTGACACCATTCAGCCGCCCGACCCCAACAAGTACTTCCAGCTTGTCAAGGCGGATATCTGTGCAGTCAACATGGATGCCCGGCAGCTCTGGATCGACACTTGGATCATTGGTGATGCCGCCCGAGAGTTTCCAGAGGACTCGTGGGAGCAACACAAGGCCCTGAACGTCGCCACCGAGATCATTGATACTTACGTCCTAGGCAGCCAAGAATCTCTCAAGAAATGCCGCAAGATTGCGCAAGAGTACATCGGATCGAATGTCGACTCTGCCAAGGTTTATGACAGCGATGCTACGCCACAAGTCTTCGGCATCGGACACTGCCACATTGACACTTGTTGGCTGTGGCCTTGGGCCGAGACGAAGCGAAAAGTTGCCAGATCTTGGTCAAACCAGTGCGATCTGATCGACCGGTACCCCGAGCACAACTTCGCTTGCTCTCAAGCACAGCAGTACAAGTGGCTCAAGTCCTACTACCCTTACGCTTTCGATCGCGTCAAGGAGAAGATCAAGGAAGGACGCTTCCACCCCATAGGTGGTAGCTGGGTCGAGCATGACACCAACATGCCGAGCGGCGAGTCGCTCGTCCGTCAGTTCTTGTATGGCCAGAGGTTCTTTGAGAGCAACTTCGGAGAACGGTGTCAGACTTTTTGGCTCCCGGATACCTTTGGATACTCCAGCCAACTGCCTCAGCTCTGTCGCCTGGCTGGCATGAACCGTTTCCTCACGCAGAAGCTGAGCTGGAATAACATCAACAATTTTCCCCACACCACCTTCAATTGGGTCTCACTTGACGGCAGCCAGGTCATTTGCCATATGCCTCCTGCTGAAACCTATACGGCGGAAGCCAACTTCGGAGACGTCAAGCGCAGCATCTCCCAGCACAAGTCAATGGACCAGGATCATACTTCGCTACTAGTCTTCGGTAAGGGAGACGGTGGCGGCGGTCCTACTTGGCAGCACATGGAGAAGCTGCGTCGTTGCCGAGGTATGAGTGATCAGGTTGGCCGTCTACCTAGAGTGCATCTCGGCAATACCGTCGATGACTTCTTCGACAACCTCCAGGAGAAAGCTGGCACGCTCGTGACGTGGTATGGCGAACTCTACTTTGAGCTTCACCGTGGCACCTACACCACGCAAGCCAAGAACAAGCTCAACAACAGAAGATCAGAGACCATGTTACGGGATCTCGAACTTTTGGCAACCATTGCATCGCTAAAGGACAGCTCTTACAAGTATCCGAAGAAGAAGCTCGATTTCATGTGGGAAGCGGTCCTGCTCTGCCAGTTCCACGACTGTCTGCCTGGAAGCTCTATCGAGATGTGCTACGATGACTCGGACGAGGTAAGTTTCCACTTGATTGGATCCTACGAGACGAACATCAACTGACAAGCCATCTAGCTTTATGCCGGGGTCTTCAAGGAGGGCCAGGAGATATACAAGGAGATCTGTAAACGCTTCGGAATTTCACAGGTGGAATCTGCCAAACTCGGGGAGGCTGTTGCCCTGAACACTCTGCCATGGTCCCGGAAAGAAGTCGTCGACCTTGCAGGCGGTGAGACGGGAATCGCCCAAGGGACCGGCAATCTTGTCCACGTTGAGTCTGCCAAGTCAACAAGCACCAAAGCCGTGACAGTCACGGAGACCAGCAAGGGAGTTTTTGTCATGGAAAACGAACAACTGACAGTCAAGGTCGAGAACGGTTGTGTGACGTCCTTGTTCGACCGCAAGGCCGATCGGGAGGTGATATCCGAAGGGGGCAAAGCCAACCAACTGGTCATCTTTGATGACAAGCCGTTGTACTGGCAGGCATGGGACGTCGAGGTCTACCACCTGGAGACTCGCCAGGAAGTTCCCTACGGCGAGACCAAGATCCATGAGGACAAGGAGCACCGGGTCAGCGTTGTGACCAAAGCCACCATTAGTGAGAACAGCTCGATCAAGACGATTCTGAGCCTGTGCACCGCCTTCGAAGGACAGCAGTCTTACGTCGAGTGCACGGCCTACGTCGACTGGCACGAGACGATGAAGTTCCTCAAGGTCGAGTTTCCGGTGGACGTCAGAAACTTCGAGGCATCCTACGAAACCCAGTATGGTCTCGTGAAGCGGCCCACGCACTACAACACATCGTGGGACATGGCCAAGTTCGAAGTTTGCTGCCACAAGTTTGCCGATCTGTCGGAACATGGCTACGGTGTTTCGATCCTGAATGACTGCAAGTATGGGTTCGCGACATGCGGCAGCCTGATGCGTCTCTCGCTGCTGCGGTCGCCCAAAGCGCCTGATGCTCACGCGGACATGGGCACACACAAGATTCGTTGGGCCATCCTGCCGCATCAGGGCGATCTGAGTGCCACCTCTGTTCGTGCCGGATACAACTTCAACAACCCGATGGAGGTGCTCTCGGCACCAAAGCCGTCGGAGCTGATTGCTCTCTCTTCGCATCCTGTCAAGTTGGTCGGCGACGAGTCCCTGGTCATGGATTGCATCAAGCGGGGTGAGGATGACGAGGACGTCTCGTACGATACCGGCATCGCTCGCCGGAAGGGACAGAGCGTCATCGTCCGCCTCTACGACAGTCTTGGTGGGCGCAGCAGCGGTACCATCACGACGGCGTGGGACGTCAAGAAGGTGTACAAGACGAACATCCTGGAGGATGACGGCGAGGAGATCAAGGCCGATAAGAACGGCGCTTTTCCCGTGACGCTGCGACCCTTCGAGGTTGCCACTATCAGATTACAGCTGTGATATGATTGCTTGGGCCTAGAGGACCTAGTATAGCGTATGGGAAGAAGAGAAAAACCAGTTTGATCAATCGTTTCAGTGGTGCAGTTTGCATTGCATTGCATTGCATGGCGTGGCAACAGAGATTGTAGTATAGCGATATTGTATGAGAGAAAATGACATTGCTTGACCTGACCAACTCCCATTGACCTCCATGTCCTGTGGTGCCCTCTCACTGGGATGACATATTTGTACGACCCAATTACAATTACATGTCCGCCATGCTCGAAACAAAACATTCCAGCACCAGATCATCTTCGACGCTGTTGTGCGTCGGCTCCAGGGACGACAGTGAATGGTGCTGCAGAGACGCCATCCCGCTGGGGTCGAACGATGATAGCTGCTCCTCGAAAGATGGCATCGTGTGGTCGTAGTCGGTCAGCGAGGCATCGAGCATCAGGGGGTTATTATGCGTGTTGGCTTGTGTATGATGTCCGTACGTCTGCGTCTGCATCTGGATGTGTGAAAGCTGCTGTCCCTGCTGCTGCTGTTGTTGGTAGTGAACTACCGGGTGCATATGGTGTTGCTGGACCTGGTGGTGGTGCGCAGAAGACTGATTCTGTCCAGCAGCAGTAGTGGCTGTGTTGGTAAGCTCGTCCAAGGCCAGCTGCATGGCCGCGGTCCGGGACCGAGGCTGCCGTGCTGCGCTGCTGCTCCTGCTGTTGCTGTTGCTGTTGCTGTTGTTGCCGTGCCCGCCATTGTTGTTGGGGTAGACGGGTCTCGGACGGTTGCTGTTGTTGCCGTGCCCGCCATTGTTGTTGGGGTAGACGGGTCTCGGACGGTTGCTGTTGCTGCCCTGCTGCAGGTTGCGCCGCGAGGCGCGGTCGCGCTTCTGCTGCTGGCGGCTGTGGTGCGTCGAGGCCGCCTGGATCTGCAGGCTGTGGGGTGCGTATTGGGTTTGCTGCTGCTGGTAGTGCCCGTGGTTGTGGTTCATGTTGATGTGCATTGAGGGCGTCTCCTCCATCGGTGTCGTGGTTGATGATGAGGAGGTTGTAGGTGTGGCAGATGAGTCGAGGTTTTCGGGGTTGTGTTGCTGTTGCTGGTGCTGATGTGTCGGTAGCTGTATCTGTGTCTGTGTCTGGTTCATGCCCGGCCCTCCTCCGTACGAAGCCCGGACTCGCATCTGCTGGTACGCCAACATATTCCGCATCAGCGCCTTGTACCGCGCCTCGAGCAGCTCAACGGACTCCCGCCTGCGGCGTGGCTTGACGGACGAAGATCCGTGCTGCGGTTGATGGAGACCCATTCCGAGCTGACTCGGGTCTGAGCCCTCTGTATTTGTTGTGTTTATGGGATTCATAGCCTCCTGAGACTGCATGGTGAGGCATCTCAAGGCAGTGCTGTCTATCTCTCCCGGTTGTAGTAATATCCAGGTGTAGTTGTGATAAGTGCGCAGTAGAGATCCCGTCTCTTTGTCGACGCGTACGGTAATTAAGTAATGATGAAGGAAGCAAGAGAGTACAAGTATGTCATGACGGCAGACCGAGGGATATGATCCTAGCACTGGCTAGCTACCGAACGAACGGAGGAGGATCACAAAGCTGGGTTGGTTTGCGTGCTTTTATTAGACAGGGGAAATACCTACCTGATGTAGCCAGCGAGCGACTTGGGCGTTTTTATTCCCGTTTGTCTTGTGAGTAGCAGCAGCAGCAACAGCAACCCTTCAGGGCAATCCGAGGATTTGAGAGAGCAGAAAAAGCCCGGCTTGCTGGGCAAAAGGAAAGACAATACCCGACAGCGTGGAGTTCAAGGCCGGATTTGAGATATGCTGGTATCTCAACCGAGGGCACTGAGACTGGCATCGTCCTCTTTCCTGGGGTATTTGTCGACCACTCAAATCGAAAGCCCTCGGGTCGCCCTTCGACGCCAGAAATGCCACATGCCATGCATACAGCTGCCGGTTGGGTTTGAGGGGGAACCGCCTCGATGCACATGCACGATGGGAGGATTTGTGTCGTGGGGCGACAGATGTGTTGGTCAGGTCCCGTGAGAGCATCTGAGACGAACACAAATTGGGTGCCGTGCTCCCGTCGCGGAGCTGATGGGTGGGCGCCCAATGACCGCCTCTGCTGCTGTTCTCGGTATTCCAAATGTGGAACGTTGTTGGCGTTATCCGCGGCGGTGGTCCAGGCGTCATGATCGATCGGTACCTACCTTGTGGTGGTAGTTGCGAACATTCCAAATACATGTGTCGACATTGGACAAGGAGGACGATGAGGAGTAAAGTCAGCAGCAGGAGAAGACAGGGGCAGGGGCAGGGGGCCGTCGTCAAGCGGCACCTGTCACGGTATCCACCCCTTGTTCACACGGTCTGGTCCGCCCATATCACCGGTCGAAAACAGTGTGCGCTTCTCCTCCGTCTTTCAGCCCCAGCGCCATCGACCAATCTTCCAAATCTTTTTATATTCCCCGGCGAGGCACAAGGCACACACCCGCGCAAACGAAAGTCTCGCATCTCGAAAAACTGACGCGGCCCAGTCCCACGTCGACCCTTCTGTGATTCGCCCCTGATGAGCGGCCCATCCTGCCGTCGGCTTACTTCATTGATCACCAGAGGGCGCACCACAGATCAAGGTCGAGCTGGCTTTGGCTTGCTGCGAGCCGCCCCAAACGGGCCCAGCTGCGTCGGTAGTCGAGCATGTCTCAGCTATGCCGCACGTGATGGCGTTCCACGTCTGCGCCGGAGACCGAGTAGTACACACCAGCTGGCGTTGGGGGCCCAACAACACGTACGAGGCAAGAAGACGAAGTCGTCCATGAAGCTGGAGGACCTGCCCCAGGGTCTGATCGAGTCATCGGATCCGCAGCCACTGCCGGATCTCGAGGAGGGCGATGGCGGGCCTGCCTATCCTACCGTCGTTCTGCAGGCCAGCCGGAACATGCAGAAGTTCGAGAACTGCGTGCTCCTGACCCGGGTCGGCGGCTTCTACGAGCTGTATCTCAGCCATGCCGAGGAGTACGGGCCTCTGCTGAACCTCAAGGTCGCGCAGAAGAAGACCAATGCCGGACCCGTCCCAATGGTACCTACCTAGCTGGACCCTGTCATATTTCCAAAGGCGTCATTTTCTGATTTTCTTCTTCGTAGGCCGGATTTCCCTTTTTCCAACTGGACCGATTCCTGAAGACCCTCGTCTTGGACTTGAACTGCTACGTTGCGATAGCAGAGGAGTTTCCCAATGACCCCGGTGACAAGGTTAGGTCCGGGGGGCTTATGCATGACCGTAGAGTCACACGTGTCATCACGCCCGGCACCCTTATAGACGAGAACTTCATTAACCCATATGCCAATAATTACGTGATGGCCATTCATGTCAATCAGCAGGAGCAGGAGACAGAGTCGACCAAGTCTGAACCAACTGGAGAGATCGGTGGCGTTGAGGCGGCCCGTACTACTGATTCTGCACCAATTGGACTGGCATGGCTGGATATCTCCACGGGCCAGTTTTACACACAGTCGACGGGCGTGGAGACGTTGTCTTCTATACTGTCCCGCGTTGGTCCAAGAGAGATTGTCGTTGACGAGGTCCTCGAATCAAGAAGAGACCACAAGCTGTTCTCTGTCTTAGCTGAAGACAAGTACTTGATCACATTCGCGCCCCAAGGACAGCATCTTCCCGTCTCACAATGGGGTCCGATGTTGGAATCCGACATCCCCTCAAAAACAGCTGAAAGCTTCACCCCGGATGAGGCCCAGGCCGGTAGCTTGCTACTCCAGTACGTTAGAGACCGCCTCCAAGGTCTGAGCATGAAGCTACAGCCTCCGCTACGGCACGAGAACATGTCGGTCATGGCTATCGACAAGAACACGATGCGGTCGCTGGAGATCAAGCAGACAACCAAGGACGGGGCTTTCCGCGGAAGTCTTTTACACGCCATACGGAGAACTGTCACTAAAGGAGGCGCCCGCCTGCTGGACGCTTGGCTGAGCGCGCCTTCGACTGATCTGGATACCATCCGCGGCCGGCAAGACCTGGTTGAGCACTTTATACGGTATGAGGATCTACGTGATGAAATCATCTTGCTGTTGAGGAGAAGCCATGACTCGCAACGTCTGGTGCAGAAGTTCGCATTCGGGCGCGGAGACGCAGACGATCTCATTGCTCTTGCCAACACCATCCGTGCCACGGAAGATATTGTTTCTCTTCTAGAGGAGGCCGCACCAGAGCACCAGCGGCATCCAGAAAAGGGGAGAGCTACATCTCATGATAGCTCCACCAAGAATCCTGCCTGGACTACATGCTTCACCTCCCTCATCTCGCGCATCAACCTCAAAGACCCAGCCAAGCTAGCAGACCGCATCAGGAGGTCCATCGACGAGGAAGGGCTAGTACAGCAGCACCAGAACGAGGACAGCGAAGCCAGTCAGCTCCTCACGCTCGCCGAGAACGTCGTCGCGGCCGAGGGCACCCAAGGCGACGCGGCAGCCCTGCCCAAAGGCGCCACCGCCGCCGCCAAGAAGAGGAAGCCACCGACATCGCTCCGCGACCACTACGCCGTCAACGACAACACGGCCTTCGTGATGAAGCCGGCCGCGAGCCCAGCGCTGCAGGACCTGCACGCCAAGCTGTCGACCCTCCTCCACGAAAAGGCCGCCCTCGGCGACGTCCTGCGCGAGCGCCTGGCCGCCCCTTCCCTGACGTTGCGCTGGACGCCGAATCTGGGCCACATCTGCCACGTCAAGGGCAAGGATGCGCGCACTGCCGCCGCCTCCTCCACCTCCCCCAGCACCACGACGATGGACACGCCGCCGACGGTAGTCAGCTCGAGCCGCAGCACGCGCGCGCTGCACGTGCCCGAGTGGACGGCGCTGGGCCAGCGCCTGCACCAGACGCGCTTCGAGATCCAGACCGAGGAGTCCCGCATCTTCGCGTCGCTCCGCGCGCTCGTCGTGCGCAACCTGGTCAAGCTGCGACGCAACGCGGCCGTGCTCGACGAGCTGGACGTGGCGACGTCGTGCGCGCGCCTGGCCGACGAGCAGGGGCTAACGCGGCCCGTTGTCGTCGGCGACGGCACCTCGGCGCACACCATCATCGGCGGTCGCCACCCGACCGTCGAGGGCGGCCTGCGGGAGCAGGGCCGCAGCTTCACGCAGAACGACTGTCTCGTGGGGAACGACGGCTCCCACAGCAGCAACAGCAGTAACAGTAACAGCAGCAGCACCACCACCACCACCACCACGATTAAAGAGAGCCGCCTCTGGCTCATCACAGGCCCCAACATGGCGGGCAAGAGCACGTACCTGCGGCAGAACGCGCTGATCACGATCCTGGCGCAGGCCGGGTGCTACGTGCCGGCGGACCACTGCGCGCTGGGCGTCGTCGACGCCGTCTTCTCGCGCGTCGGGTCCGCCGACAACCTGTACCGCGACCAGAGCACCTTCATGGTCGAGATGCTCGAGACGGCGCAGATCCTGCGCGCCGCCACGGCCCGCTCCTTCGTCATCATGGACGAGATCGGCCGCGGTACCACGCCCGAGGACGGCGCCGCCGTGGCCTTTGCGTGCCTGCACCACCTGGTCCATGTCAACAGGTGCCGCGCCCTGTTCGCGACGCATTTCCATACCCTGACGGACATGGTCGCGGAGAGGGGTATGCATGTCACGAGCGGCGGCTCCGTCGAGACATATTGTACGGACGTGGAAGAGGACGGGGCCGGAGGTTTTGTCTATGTGCACAAGCTACGGAAAGGAGTCAACCGGCAGAGCCACGCGCTCAAGGTCGCGCGCCTGGCAGGCTTGCCCGAAGCTGCTATTACGATGGCGAGGGACATTTTAGGACATACTACGGAAAACAGGGGCGGTGGCGAGTCACAAGTCGGACCATGATACCCAGGTAAGCAAGTCGGCCAGTATTGTAGAATAGGTCGTGTGGATTATGTGGTTGCTGTCCGTACTTGAAAATAGGTTAGCACTCTGTTCCCGTCCGTAGAATGTACATAAAATGTAATATGGGGGACGTGTCTCATAGGGTGGTGATGAATGTGTCATCAAGAAAGATCAGGGTTAAAAAGCTCTTGATTCAAATAATATAATCATCGAACACTTGGGGAATGTCAAGGACAAGGGAGAAAACTCGACTAACCTTTTGCTTGGGACAAGACAATTGTGCAGCTTCAGGCGCCATATTAACAGCCTGCATGCATATCACAACGTCAAGAGTACGCCTGAGCATTTGTTCCTTGTCAGATGTAATGCGCCTCAATTGACCTGAAAAAGACCTATGTACCGTCGATTTTCGTACGTCTAGATCTCGTAAGCCTAACCGAAGCCCAGTCTGATGCCAGTCCGAGAACAACGTGATCATGCTACAACATTTAGTCGCTGTGAAGGAGATCAGTGTTAGCAAATTCCACCACTTTGTCGGTCTGGATTCGAAGAAGACATACAAGAGACCACCGAAGCCTTCGTCACCAGACTCTTCAGCTTCCGACTCTTCCTTCTTCTCCTCGGCAGCCTCGGTCTTGGTCTCGGCAGATCCGGCAGCAGGGGCAGCCGAAGCGTACGCGTCGGGGTTGGCGATTCTGTCCTTCAGGTCCTCAATCTCGGGCCAGCTGTACTCGGTCTCGACGGCGACGGCCAGAACCTTCTTGTAGCTGTTGACCAGAGAGTGCATGACGGAAGGCAGGGTGGGGAAGTCGAGGGCCAGAGACAGAGCAGCGATGGTGGTGATGGCGCTGCTGAAGGCCTTGAGTAGCTGCTCCTCGCCAATGTCCAGAACCTCGGGAGGGAAGCAGTTGCCTTCGTCGTAGACCTGCGAGATACCCAGACCGTAGGTGAACGGGGAGATGTTCAACATGTTGAGCAGGGTAGCCTCGGAGGGACCAACTTTGGTGTTCGCCTCGACGAGCTTGAGATCGGTGGTAATTTCAATGGTACCACGGGCAATCTTGGTGGGAACACCGAGAGCCTGGAAGAAGGAGGTCTTTCCGGGTTCCATACCAGTGTTGCCAGCGGGCACCCACACATCGGCGGGGGCAACGGCACCAGCACGAGCCGGGGCCGCGACCTTGTTCGCCAGAATCTTATCACGGATGTCCTTGAGGTCGCCGTTGGTGAAGATGAAACCGACGTTACCCCGGACGTGGGGCAACAGGCGTTCGTACTCGGGCGAGTCGGAAACGAAGGTTCGCAGAGCGCGGCGGACCTGGACGGCAATCGATCAGCGCATGCCCAGGCGAACAACCCGCGTGCGAGGAGTGTTCTGCAATGTACTCACCATGGTGTTCTTTCCCATCAGAACAACAGCCTCTCCGCGGAGAGACTGTCGGACCTCGTGCATCTGCTGCGAGCTGACATTGTCGACGGTGACGATGAAGACGGACTTGTAATCCTCCAACAAGCCCTTGAGCTTGGGGAACTGTGACGGTCGCGGTCAGCATATGGTTTCCGCAGTGGCAGTTTTCGATGGACCTACGTATTCCGCCTTCTTCTGCTTGCTGGCTCCCATATCTTCTTATTTGTGAAGTTAGGATGTTTAAAGCTCAGCCGAGGTGTGGTGTGTGATGGAGTTGGTGATGGTGAGGGACGGGAGGCGCAAATGGATTGAGTGAGCAAAAAGTCGATTGGGGCCCGCGCTCCAAAATTAGCTAATTCTTCAACTGTGTGCGCAGCCAGCACCAACCCCGCCGTGCCCGCTAGGGTTCTCTCCAGTGAGAGGAACCTAGGTACTTAATCTACCCCGTCCATCATTGATGGATGCATATTATCGTAGTCTTCTCTGTAATCAATGTACTGCCACAATTGGGACTGACCAATCAGACCAAAGAAGTCGGTCCCGCACTTCGCGACGTTTTGCTTTGCAACGAAACTACCACCTGGTGCACTCGATCCACATTTGTATGGAAAAGTCATGCAAAGCGCGATCTATCTAGCCATCCAAATTATCAAGCTTTTCATTCGTGTCGCGGGGGGTAAACATTAATTCTACGTGAAAAACTTTGGACGTGCACGGCACAGGGTTGGCGTGTGGCGTGTGTGGCGCATCACGTGACACCTATTCCGGTTCTGGGACTGGTCTCATCAGCAGCACTCATTCTTCCACATCATTCATTAAGGTATGTTCGTCTCGACTGATAGTTGAGGCTTTTTCTCATTAGACATAACACACCAAGTATATACTTACGTGCGTGAATATGCCATGCAGATATCTATGCAGGTCTTCTAGATTTCCTATCATCGAATACATGACGAACTGGGGGAGGTCCAGGTGAATACCATTCGTACATACATATGGTACAGTATAATACACACAGCATTGCCTACACACGTGAGGTATCCGGCTTCTTTCAAACCTGAGCCACCTCTGTACCCTCATGTTCGTCGTCATCGACTAGACCCATTGCCTGGGCGGCATTGGTAAGTTGACTTTGGGGATCATGATGCTTGAGGGCCACGACTGCTTCCACAAGATGAAGTTCCAGATACTTGCTCGTTTCTTCGTCTTTCACTTCCGGAGGCAGATCGTCGTCCGCATTGAGCTCCCCGGATTCGATGAGCACGTCGTGCCTCTGCTTCAGGAAGTCTTCAAGGCGTGCTTGAGCCTGTATCAGTCGAGCCGCATCTCGGCCTTTGGCAGTCTTCTCCAGATCCGAGGATCCAACGAGCAACTCCATTACCACGAAGGCCGGCGGTTCGAAGTTGAAGACCTTCCGCAATGCGCGATATGCCAGGAGGAGCCCGGCTTTGTCGTTGACTTTGTGAAACGAATGCAATATGTTCCTTGCCAAAAATGTGTCAATTGTGGTGGCCCCATCTGTCATGAAGATGGCGACCTGGCCCATCATCTCGCGAAACAAGGCCCGAGCTCTCAAGCCCTCTCCCACGTACTGAGTACTGAGTATCCGGCTGAGGCGATTGACAGGTAAAGCTTGCCAGAGCGCCGTGAACGTCCAAGGATCGGGTTTGATGTCGTATTGCTTGGCCAGAGTTCGATACGTTATTTCCACCAGCTGCCCCTTCCCATCCTGGAGGTAGGATTGAAGTACCTGGTTCAGCATGAACGAGTCGAGCGCAATGTCCGCCTCCCTGAACGCTTGCCATAGCTCGTTCATCTTGACAGGTTTGCCTCGGGTTTTATAGCACTCGGCGAGCAGGCTGAACGTCTCTGGTGTTGCTCTTGGCCATCCGTCACCAGATTGTTCAAGCTGGATTGCTTCGATATCCGACCTGCGCCGCCGCAGCTCAACAAACTGAATGCGCGTGTTGATCATAGCCCATGCTACGTTTTCTGCTTTCTGCACACTGTCGGCAGTCGGGGACCTTAGCCATGCACCAATTAGTCCATTGACCTGAATGGCTTGAGGTACGATCCCCTTGGTTCTCATGAAGAGCAGCACACTGTGAGCGCCATTGAGGTCGCCGGCCCCTATGAGGCGCTTCAACCATTTGCCAAAGAAATAAGAGTTGGCGATGCTCGCAGGGTAGGTCGGTGCGCGAGATAGATCAATAGAGCCTGCCTTCATCATGTCGACGAAGGCATACAGGGCGTAATCGGTGTTGTCAGAAGCCAAGAAGTATGAAATGACTAGGTCGTAGTCCTCGATGGTTATCGAGTCCTGCAACGCATCCCGCATGTGTCGGTATGCGCTGAACCCATTCCCGACTTCTCCAGGGGTTTCGGCGCAGAGCCTAATGAACGGCAGGACAAACCGAGGGTCCTTTTTGTAAGGAGACTTGAGAATAACGTCGACCATCTGCTTGGCCCGTACCATATCGCCCGTCAAACAGTGCATGCGAAGCCCGAGTTGCCAGAAGTCGATGAACGTCTCCTGCTTAGCACCGAGCGTTGCAACAAAGCGCCTGTGGTTTTGGACTGCCTCGTCTCCATGACCCTGTATGAACATGGCCTCAATGGCCAGGAGTTGTTGCTTATCGCTAAGGGAAACCCCGGCCCGGACCATGTCCTTTGCAAGGACATAGGCATGTGTCATTCGGTTTGTATTGAATTCTTGGTCCGCTGTGAGGACTCTCCAGAGCAGGTCCCAAGTCGGACGCGGAACGGTATGCAACCGGTAAGATCCTTTCCACCGCGTGTACAAGAATTTGCGAGCTGACGAGTAATGTTTCCAGAGCAGAACGATTAGGTTAGGAAAGACAGCATCCCCGTGCTTTACGCAAGATCGGATGCTATTGTTCAACCGCCTCACCAACGGGGTGGCTGTGCCCAATTCTTCCTGGGGTATGAACGGCGATGTCGTCGTCGACTGTTTACCGCTCTCGGTGGCGAGCTCGATAAACTCTTGGTCCTCCCCTAAGGCGAACTGCCTCTGAAGCTTTTCGGCTTCGTCTTTTCCTCCGAGCTCTTCTATCGTCCTCACGAGCCCGGTGGCGTGTTCCAGTTGCTGCTGCAGCGCTCTCAGCTGCAATCCAATCTCACCACCAGGGTCGGTCATGGATTCGCCAAACTCGTCCTTGTCCTCTAGGCGCCGCAGCCTGCCATGTTTGTCCTGCTCAAAGTAGTTGACTGAGACCTTGGGGCTGTCGTTTAGAAGACCCAGGGTCTCGAGGGTTTTAATGCGCTCAGCATCTCGTTCGGCGGATGGTTGGTTTGAAGGGGCGGGCGCATGTGCTTCGGCGGCATGGGAGGAGAGTCGGATAGGCCATTGCGCCACTGGCGATCGCTTCTGCAAATTCGACCGACACGATCTACAGACAAAGTTGCGTGTGCCGAAGTCGAGTAGGGATGTCCGAGGAGGCATGACATGCAGCTGCCAGTTTATGAGTGGGTGGTCATCGGTTGCGCGCAGTGATGGTGTTGAAGGACCGTCAAGGAAAAAATGATGGACCAAGGCCCTGCGCGCCGGCAATCGAATTTCTCAGGGTGATATCACTTCTATCACTTCGAGATGGCCTTCGCGTTTAGCGCGTGCCTTAACCCCCGGGGCTGTCCGTTCAGTGGGGCCAACCGCTGTGGGACCCTGGGCTAACTCCACCGGCGGCACCGACTGCAGCTGGAGGTGTCACCGTCATCTCAGGGGGCTTGCAATTACATGTCCCGTCATTCAGCCTCTCGTGTAGTCGCGTCACGACCTACAGCCATACCTCACTCAATACTCGACATGTGCTCACAGACGTGAAAAGGTCTAATATCAGGGCCAACGAGCAACATCTGTTGCCTACACACAATGGCTGTAGATGAGCCTCTCGGCGAGGCCTATGAAGAGAAGCAGCATCAAGTGAGTTGCATCATATAGCTACGCATTGCCACGCCCTGCATCACAACTAATCCTGTTCAGGCTGCCTATATCTTCGATCCTTCCGATGCCGTTGATGATGGCACTCGGCCCGCCAAGCGGAGAAGGGTCTCTAAGAAGCTGAAGAAGTCTGAAGCCCACACGGTAGCCAGCACGTCGGTATATCCACGTCTCTTCGACGGTGCCGAAAGTGAGCGCTGCGCCCACATTCGGCAACAACTGTTTGAGCACACGTGGTCTAAGATCGAATCAAGGATTCAGCGCATACTGCGAGAGGCAAACCAGTCGACCCTGCGTCAAGTCACGTCTTTTCTACAGGCAGCTCCAGACCATGCGCCTGTCGGCAAGATCCCGTCCGCCTTCATCATAACTGGCCCCAACATTGCCTCTCAAGACCTCCTGTTCGAGCAACTCGCTGAGACTCTGCAACTTCAGGCAGACGCAAGCGTTGTGCGTCTGCGTTCCGGGGATGCTTCGAACTTGAAAGCCATTCTGAAGAAAATGATCCATGATGCCGTGGCCAAAGTCACCGACGATGAGGAGAATGACTTGGAAGTGGCCGTGAGCAAGGATGTGAGTTGAAACTCAGGGCGACTGCACCATCCCTTCTAACGCGTCATCTCCAGGGCCGGAGATTCCTCAACTATGATCTCGAAGCTCTTCATACCCACCTCAAGTCCAGTCCCCGACGCCACGTAGTCATTGCATTTCAGGACAGTGAGGCCTTTGAGAGCGGGCTGTTATCAGACTTGATCTCGCTTCTCAGGCAAGTGAAGGCCTAGCACGTTTTGTTGCCTGCAACTACTAATATCGTCTAGTTCGTGGCTTGATCGCATCCCCTTCGCCCTGCTGTTTGGTGTGGCCACTTCAGTGGAGTTGTTTGAGGCACGACTCCTGAAGTCTACCTGCCAGTGTCTTTATGGTAGACAATTCGATGTTGAGCAGTCGGCAACAATTGTCGCTAAGGTCTTCAAGGCTGCCGTCGCGCATTCCGAAGCACCCTTGCGATTAGGCCCGAATCTTGTGAGCAGTCTTCTTGAGCGCCAGCGAGACCAAGTCGCCAGCATCCCTGTATTTGTCAGCTCCTTGAAGGTAATTTACCCTGTTTGTCAGACTACAGACCAAAGCTAAGTTTCTTGCCTAGTACGCCTACATGTGTCACTTCTACGCGAATCCCCTGACAGTCCTGTTTTCCGAAGAACTCGATGAGGACGCGCTCCATGGGGAAAACCTCGAGGCGTTGCGGTGTCTTCCATCCTTTCGTCACTCCGTGGAAATGGCTGTCAAAGAAGGCGATATTCAGCGAGCAAGGCTGCTCCTAGAGGACGACCGATATCTAACAACATATCTGCGGGATCGCCTTGAACACTTCCGTCACTGGGCAGTCAAATTCTTACGTATCCTGAAGATCATCACGATCAACAACTCTTCGTCCGCTGGACTCGCTGATATGTACTTGGACTCCCTTCTAAGAGGGGTCAACCTCTCGGATCAGGATGCCGAGATCGGGGAGTCGATAAAACGAATGCAACCATCCGACAGCATACTATTCCTGACACGGCTTCTAGATGTAATCGACAATGGAGACCCTAGTCTTGGCTTGGATGCAGGGGCGGGTGACACGGAGGAGGCCGTCATGGAGCTCTCTGACATTCTTGCTGATATCAAGCGGTTACATCAGGAGAATGAAGAGGAAGGCAAAGTTCTTCGAAGTAAGTACAGTGGACAGAGCAAGATTGTGCGTACTACTGTTGTTGCCCAGAAAGTGCAGCTTAGTCGCGACACGGCGGCTTTGACCGACAACGACAAGCTGTACACCGACCTCATGGACCGTGTGCTCGAGCAGTTGCGCATCGTGTTGCGTGTTGAAGGCGCGGAGGACTTGGTGTTCAATGAGATATGGTTGTACGACTCGAAAGCGCTGTACAAAGACGTATTCATCCCACGGCCAAGAGGCGTTGGTGAGCGAGCGCTATCACGGCCCCATGACTACCTAGGCTGTTCCTGCTGCCGGTCAAGAGAGGACCAGGTCATGCCAACATTCCCGACAACTGCCGTATTGTACCAACTCTACCTCGAAACCGGCTCGCTCATCAATGTTGCCGACCTCTGGTCTGCATACTACGCAATCGTGGGCGAGGACAACGAGGGCGGGCTGGATGAGCGAACTGCACTTGTTTTGTTCTATCGCGCAATGGCCGAACTGAGGGTCATGGGCTTTGTCAAGCAGAGTAGGAAAAAGGCAGACCACGTTGCAAAGCTCGCGTGGAAAGGGCTTTGAGCATGTACGAATTGAGACTATCGGAGAAGAGTCATAGTGGTGGTGGGAGTGAGTTTGTTCGGGCGCATTCAGGGGCAGTAAGTCATTGTGACACGAGGTGATTCTAGCCACGACAGCATATATACCCTCTTCTCAATGCGTCTGCCAGTCCTTTTTCCAGGCGCGTCTCGGTGTCCTAGACAAAGCCTCATTTCGTCCCATGACGGCCGCGCGGGACAAAGAAAACCAACACCCGCGGGTCGCCGCGATGTACCCAAAACCGTCGGAGCGCCCAACAAAGAAGACCGCCACAAATCTGCGAGATACAAGAAGAGCAGCCAACCGCCCGCGCTTTTCGAGGCCGTTCTCCTACATCCCGTACCCCAGCAGCTGCGTAGTTATTATAGATCCAAGTGCTCGTTCTCTCTCTCTTAAGTCCCCCCATCTTAAACTTACCATTCTCTATCTATAGCTGCTGGCGGCTCTGACACTATCGTCGAAGGCCAATTCACAAACCCCCAAAGCAAAAAACGAGCACGAAAAAACCAACCAAACGAGCCTTCTACCGTTATACTCTCATTTGAACCTATCCTTATTATTTGTCTATTACCATTGATACCTCCGAAAAAGGGAAATCACAAAAAAAGCACTCGGTTCTTCACAACAGCACAGCACTTGAGATCACTCATTTAGAATATCAGCTGTACAAGCACCACAAGCGAAGACACCTCTCAACTTACCGTTCGACGACCCGTCGTCCAAACCTTCTTTATACCCAAACAACCAACAATCCCCTAAAAAATGCAAAACCAAAACCAACCCCAACCCCGCAACAACACCACCAGCCAAGCCAGCGCCTCGATGCTCAGCGACCGGCGCGCCGCCAAAGACCCAGCCTTCGGCGAGAAGCTGCGGCAGATGGCGCTCCCCCTCGCGCCGCTAGTGCAACTCACAACCGGCGACGTGCACCCGGCGTTCCCGCCGACGCTGCTCAACTTCTGGCTGCTGACGGACGCGCAGCTCGAGGAGCTGGCGCACTTCTACCACCAGCGCACGCCGTGCCGCTGGACCTTCCACTACCCGTGCCCCATCACGTGGACGCCCGACATGCCGCTCGAGGAGAAGCGCCGCAAGATCGGCCGGTTCATCGGCCTGCGGGGCTGCGAGAGCCCCATCCGCGTCAAGAGCGAGGAGGACATCATGGAGGAGGCCCGGAGGGCGCGGCTCGGCGACGAGGAGGAGATGTGGAGGCGCAAGATGCGGTGGTGCTAGAAGATCTTTTGCGCGCACGCCCGCGTGTCAGCGTGTTTGTGTGAGAGATGGTCTTTGGGACGCAATGTGGGAATGGTTGAAATGTATCTAGACGGACACCTCGGGTATGGATTTGATGGAACTGGTTTTTGAACACCGCGGAAAGCGGGAGGATGGAAGGAAAAACAAGCGAGGTGTTTTGGTTCTGTTCTTACCTTCTCTTGAAATTATTTATTAGCACTATGAGCACTTGCAAATATTTTTTTCTGCCACAAGTCTCATAAAATGTGCGCACGCCCGAAGACGTGAAGCGCTTGAAGCATTCCAACTAACCGTGAGCTCAAGGCTAGGTCGAGCCCACGGTTGGAACAGATTCCCTGCCCAGGTGGCCTCAACCCGATATCCGGGGGCGCTCATGTATGCAAGCTCTTCTCAGACAAAGCAGAATGGCGACCATGTTTAAGTGTCTTGAAGATGCTCGCCCCGTTCCCTATTCCCAGCAGCTCAACCCATCACGCGCGAATCGACTCGCCTCGGGTGGAAAATCTCACTATAACTTTGTACACCCGGTCGCCTTTTTCCATGAATTGTCGTACAATGCATAGAGAGATCTGCAGAGTGTCGTTAATGGTCCGTCGAGACTCGAAAACAGGACCACAACCACCGATGTTAAGGAGAGAGGCTCCATAGTTGCAGTGCTGGGCTTCAAGGTCAATCCCCTGTATGTCAAGTCCCAGTCGACGTTCATGTGATCTGAGTCGGCGACATGGGTGATCTCGCAAGCTACCATGTCAACATCAAAGCTTGGTGTGACCTCGCACCGTATGTATATATGAGGCAACCCCATCGACCCTAGGAGAAGGCGGTCCAGACGTGAGGAATAGGAACGCTGTCCAGGCTTCGGCTTCCACGATATCTCTCCTTTGAATTCACGGTAGCCTAGCCGCGCGTCCATCGTGTAGGCTAATGTGAGAGTATGACGGCCATTTCCAGTCTGTTTGTTATTGAGGATGAAGCAAGTTACCAAGTCCCATTCGACATGAACCCGCCTTGGTATAATGATTACGGCCGGCCCGACACGTCGCAAAATGGCGTTTTTTGGCTGGCTGACCAGCTGTAATAGTAAGCCAACCGTCTCCGAACCTGACACAAGTGCCAGGTCTCTGAAACTGTTGGCGATCAGGCTGTTGCTGATGAGAGGTGCATCACGTTGTACATCGTCCTCCGACGCGGTTTGGACGCAGTTGAGAATTCCAAGGAACAGAGGAGAATCGTTGTATGTATACGCTGCCACACCCTTGGCGAGCTGTCCGAGATAGGGGTAGTCGAGCACAAGTTGCTCGTCCAGCCTTTGTAACGGAAGGGTGATTTGAAGTCCTCGTTCACGGCTGGTCAATTGCAGGTTCGAGAATTGATGAGAGAAGATCGGCTGATATCGAAATTGCCGCGAGAAGTCTCGAGGGGTCGCCGCTAGCATATATTTTTGTATCCAGCGGAACTTGTCACGTGGTGGCTTAGAAGAGAACGCATCCACAGAGACCGCAAGCCCCCAGAGGAATATAGCATGGTCTTCGGAAGTTCTCATGATCTCTTCTTGCAGTCTTTCGAAAGCCCGGTTACCTTCACCATAGAGAAGTGGCATCTTGACGTTGAAGATGCCTAGAAGACAGTAGGCTTGGTCTTCTTCTCTTGTTGTCGAGCGTGTGGAGTCCCAAAACATGCGTGTCGCCACTGGTAACTTGAAGAGCTCGGCATCACGGCTCAGCACATCTGAAGGGATTCCGGTGATATTCGAGATGAAGTGTTTCAGCTCAGACTTTGTTCCAAGCGATAGCCACTCTGCAGAGTAGAATAAGACTCGGAAGGGCGCGAGCAATTCTTGGAGCGTCCACCCTCGCCGAAACCACCTCCATCGAGGGGACTCTGTGGCATCTTTCAAGGACAGCTCGAAGGACCGAGGACGCGAAGAGATGAGCTGCGCATCAGTATCGAGACTGGACCGATATTGGACGTCACTCAAGTATGCATAGCACACCATGGATCGCCTATACCAATCAAACATCGAGTTAATTGCCTCGGAGAGCTCAGCACTTGGGTAAGTTAGCAATACTGGGGGATCAGAGTACACGGCTCAGAGCCTTGTCTGGCTGGGGGTGAAACAACACGGAAGACGCAGCTATTGCCCTTGCGGGCTGCTAGCATCTGCTTTCTTACCTCGAGGTTTTGTCAATACAGCACGTGTCCACCCATGCCCACCGCCAACCGTCTTGCTTTGCTTGACGGCAGCAATATTTGATCTTGGTGAAGCCCTTCTTCCTTCGAGCCGTCGCAAGGTCCCTCATGTCTTGGTGTAGAACCTCCTCGTCTTCCCATGTGTGATAGAGTATTGCATATTCGGGGATGGACCTTCCTAAGAAATCCTTCAGCTCGTACGTTTCCACGTTGATAAGTCGCATGGTCCTGGGCGGTCGATGATGTGAATGACAGGGAAAAGTTTTCTTTTCACTCGCAGCCTCGGAAAGGGATATGTACCGCCGCCTAATGTACATGTACATATAGGTGCGTCTGCATGGGGGCTGAGTGTGGGGGCTGAATACAACATGAAGCTGGGCGTCTTCTGAGCACAAGACACCTTCACGGATGACATCACGTTGCAAAGGCGCATTGTGTGGGACCAAAGGTCTGGCTTTATGTATCGTATTGCCATATTCCCCGATGTGAGGTCGGCCGTGACTTACTTACAACGGCCAGTCCTCGCTTACTTCATCTCCTGTACGGTCTTCTTTACTCCCTCCACAAATGCCTCAACAGCATCCCCACCACCCAGGGGCATTTGACTGCCTCGCAGGTAGCCACCATTCTCAACTTTGATTGAGAGTGCATCGGCGACGGTAGGCAAGCCGCCGTCTCTGAGGGCCATTGTCAGGCTAGCCAAGCTTTGGTGGAATTGTGGACTCCGCAAGACCTTCTCTACCAGTGCCTTCTTTTGACCGAGACTCATCGCTTGCTTGGCGGCTTCTATTGCATCTGCGGTAGGCTCCGTAGCATCATCTCCCTGATCGGCCTGTTGAGAGAAGACGACGACTGACGGTGGAAGGTAGCTCAGTAGACTGTCGATTTGCTCCCCGGTTGCGCTTCGTGCCATAGGGACTGTGACCGGGGGTGTAAGTAGATCCGATAGAAGCGGATACAGCTTCCCTTCGCCTTGACTCGCCCCCGTGTTGGCTCCTCCTTTCAAGGAATCCAGGAAGTTTCTCACTGCCGTGGCAGCATCGGGAGCTCCAGAAGCAACACTAACAGATGTTAGCGCATGGTTCTGGCGAGAAAAAGAGACTTGAGACTATGTGCCCGGTAGATACTGGCAGTTCTCATTGAGAGCTCGTCTCTAGTAGTACACGGCAGCCCAAGCAATATCTTGGTTGGGCCCTTCTTCTGATGAATGATGCTAATGCAAGCCATGCCTCATTGTCTTCTCGAGGTCCACCCGTCCAAACGCCGAACTCGTAAATGAAATCGATCACCTACGCTCTGGCCCCATCGCCTCCTCCCTCCCGTGCACCCTCGCCCTCTTCTCTTACATCGCCGCCTGTGGCGCCAGCGCCGGCACCTCCGCTACCACTGCCGCCGTGTGGGGCATTGAAATCTCCGTGGCCTTCGACGTCTTCCATAGTCGCATCGCCATCGTCGCCACGTCGGTCATCGTCGTCGTTGTTATATGGCGCCGCCAGCTCTCGCGTGACATCGACCTCTCCGCCTTGTAGCAGTTCGTGAACAATGGCGCCAATTCTGCGGTCTCGGGGGCTGAACCAGCTTGGATCACCATTTCGACCTTGTGGTTTGGACTGGAGCCAGAAGAAGTGTCGCTGGGAGGAGGAAAGGAACTTCAGGACGAAAACACGACCGTTCGTCTTGGCGGAGGCGGGCTCCGTGGGTTCGTGGGGGAGGAACTGGCCGTCGGTAGGCACCATGACGAGGTCGAGCTCGGGCTCGTCTAAAGGAGCACTTCGCTCTCGCCAGCAGAAGTGAATCAGGTCTATGAAGGATTAGCATGGTAGCTAGCAGCCAGAACAGCTTTTAGACCCTACCATCGTCAGAGTAGAGGTACACGTATCCAGATCGTGGAGAAGCGGTGATCTTGTACGGTTTTGACGACGTCTAAGTTTGAAGTCAGTATGACTATGCTCGGATAGGTAGGTAGGTAGGTAGGACGAACGTCTGCGTCGCAAATGCCCGCCTTGAAGGTTATGATCGGGTTTATAGACATGGCGCTTATGAGATGGTCTGACGAAAAGAATGTTGCTTATGATCGGGCTCAGCAGCCAGCTAGCTGAAGTTCTTGTTTGCGTGTTTGGGTCTGTGACGGGAAGCTGAGAGACGGAGGAGATGGGTGATGCAAGATGCAAGGCTACAAGTGAGCTTCGTCAGGGCGATGGAGCTCGGACCTGGAGCTCGGGCTACCTTAGTGGGAGATAAGTACCTATGTACCTTGCTGCGGGGCGGCAGTGGCTGAAAGTCGGCGCCGATGACTGATGTGGAATTGCAATTTGCACCAGCCATATTTGGGCCCCATCTTCATTTTCAATGTGGCACACACACAGGGCTTCGGCTAAACCCACAACTCATTGATCTTTTTGCGCAGAGTGGAATTTCTGACCTCGCATCATCATCAACGACCTTGCCAACCACCCCCCCTTCAACCACTACCAACCTCGACAAACTTCACGATGTCGCAGCCGAGCACCCAAAAGAAGTTCGGAAAGTCGACCCGGGAGGTCCCTCACCACTCCGAGAAGGCCCAGAAGTGGTACCCGGCTGAGGATGAGCCCAAGCCCAAGACGGTGAGTTGCAACAACAAACCCAGCATGGCCACGATGGGAATCCCAGCAATGCTCGCCAATACGGACAATGCTCGTTTTGTGTGGTCGGAAACACTTTGTGTGGCCAGTGAAGCATATTGGGTTCTTGCAGCGCGCACTCGAAAGTGTTTCCACCACAATTACGAATGGCTGGCATTGGAGGGATGATCGCAGGACTGGCTGTGACTACGAATTACCGCTGTTCATTGGGCCAGACTGCTAACGACTTTTGCGACAGACCCGCAAGGCTCTCCGACCCTGGGCCCCGAGAACCTCCCTCAAAGCCGGCACCGTCCTCATTCTCCTGGCTGGCCGGTTCCGTGGCAAGCGGGTTGTCCTCCTCAAGACCCTCGACCAGGGTGTTCTGCTCGTTACCGGCCCCTTCAAGATCAACGGTGTTCCCCTGAGACGAGTCAACGCCCGATATGTCATCGCCACCTCTCACCAGGTCGACCTGAAGGGCCTGGACCAGAGCAAGATCGACGAGATCGCGCAAGCCAAGTACTTCACCGCGGACAAGGCCAAAAACAAGGCGAGCGAGGAGGCTTTCTTCAAGCAGGGCGAGAAGCCGGAGGTATGCATTCATTGGTGAACTGATTGTTCGGAAGAGCGCATACTAACGAGTGCGGTTTCACAGAAGAAGGAGATCAACAGCAGCCGCGCGGCGGACCAGAAGACCGTCGACAAGGCTCTGCTTGCCAACATCAAGAAGGTCGACATGCTCGCCAGTTACCTCTCGAGCTCGTTCAGCCTACGCAAAGGCGACAAGCCCCACGAGATGAAGTGGTAGATTCCGAGGGCTTCGGGGGTTATGGCTTAGAGGGAGAAAACACTCAGAGTTTGCGGACGGCGGATCGCGGAACTGGGCTGGCTTTGCCACTTGCATCTGGACGTTGAGGCATCGGTCACATTGATTCTGGCGTCTGTAATTGAGGGTTTAGTCAACAAAGACTACAAGACAACACACCTATGGGGCCCCATACTCGTGAATTTGAAGCCGTGTTTTGATTGCGCAACCCATACCAGGTAACGCCGTGTTGCTACCCTCGGGTCAGGCTAAAGGAAATAATGCATATTAGATCCGGAGGAAACCTTTCGATTCATCCATGCCTGATCTCGCTCAGACATCTAGTCTTCCAGGAGCAGACCTAATTTGGTCACAGGCCAATATAGGTGATGACTACGGGTGATGACCACAGGTGATGACCACGGAAGCTGATGGTGAACGCAGGGCACCGTGACTGTGAGGGGCGTCGAATCGCCCTTTATGTTATTTAAATCTGCCAAGGTGTCACGCCAAATGAATCATACTGGGGGTTCGTATTTGCCTCGGATTCGTACTGCTTTTCACCACATCGCAACAAAGTTACAGGTTAGAGGACATACCATGTTACATGGGACTTAAGTCACGTCTATCCTAAAGAACGGTTCAATCGAGTACTCTGTTAATGGAGTACTCAGTTGAGAGCTGCGTATTCCCGTTCAAGCTACATAACCCCGTCCAGCATGCTTCAAACCTCACGTTCCGCCCAGCTCTGGATCATGCCCTCGGGCGTGGCCTCGTAATGCTTCAGCTCAACCTTTCCGGTAGCCTCGTCCAGGAAGGTGTTGGCCTGTACAAAAACCTTCCTGGGCTGCTTGTTGCGGAGGACCTCATCGCGGACTTTCTTGCCCCAAAATTCGGGGTCGACGTTGGTCATGTCGCCGAAGAACTTGGTTCCCGTCTCGACGTCTGCTGTAGACTTGTAGATGTGCAGTTTCTGCAGGTATTCGCCGACGGCCTTGCGCCCAACCGTGGGGATCTTTGAGCGGTCCAGGCTGATCACTGCGTCCTTCAGGTCGTCACCATGGTATTCTAGCTTGCAGAAGTCGTCGCCGGCCTGCAAGAAGCACTGCAAGATGGAGAAACGGGCCTGTGAGTGAGGTTGTCCCCATTTCCGGCTTTTGGGATCCCACATTTCCAACGAGACGAGACCGGCACGCGCCATGCTGAGGTAGGACGCGTACAGAACGTCTCCGGCCTCGCTGTTCAGGTCGAAGGATCCATCACCGAAACCGAAGATCTTCAGCACGGAGAATTCGCAGCTGAGGTACATCGCTACAAGTTCTGCTCGGCATTCCTCGTAAGCACCCGCCAGGCTGCCGAAAAGACCACCCCATGTCTGGCCGGGTTTGTACCACGTGGTGACGGGTTTGCCTGTCACTAGAGAAATGGGAGGGTTCTCCTTATCGAAGTTGAATTCTCCTGGGGCAGTTTCTTGAAGCAGTTTACCGCAGCCATGTCCGGTCAACTCGTGTAGGCCGACTTGGACCTCAAAGGCTGCATCCCTGTATTTCTGATAGATCGGAAGATCCTTTTCGGCCATGAAGGGGATCGTCTCGTTGGGCGCCTTTGCGCTAAGCACGTTTCCGAGAGACACGTTCTTGAAACCCTCGGTTTGGCGAATATCGTCGTAATTGGGAATGTTGATACCGGCCGGGATCCCTGATCCCGCGAAAGTGAGCACCTCCAGCGAAGTGAAATCAGGAGATAGGAATTTGTCCTTCTCGAAATCTTTCTCCCATGGTAGGAGAGGGATAAGCGAGGGGGCAGCATCGACGAGTGCCCCAAAGGCCTTCGTTCTCTCCATGTTGACAACAGCAGCGAAGCCTTCCCATTCGCCCCTGATGCCGGCAGGGTCGCGATATGTCTCGATGAAGCCGATGTTGGACTCGACCATGGGGCCTTTGTCTCGAATCCAGAACCTTTGGCTGTCCTTGAAATCGAGCAGCGAGCCGCTTTCAAATGACTTGGCATAGGCGTTGTACATCTTCTGCTGGTTTTCGTTGTCACCGTTTTCTGCGGCTTTCTTCACGTTGGCCGTGATGGCAGCCATCTCCTTCGCATAATCACCGTATACCAACTTGATCGTCTTTCCCGCCAACACACCGTCGTCAACTTTAAACTCAGTCTCCGTTCCAATGTCACCACCAGCACTGGGAACTGTTTGCTTAGCGGACGCGATTAGGATCTCAAAGACATCGCCTTTGGACTTAACCAGCCGCGTGTTCTCGGGAAGGAGACCTTTCTCCCCCATCCACGCAGAGACCGCCTCGATCTCGCCCTGGGTGATATCAGGGGAATTGGGGTAATACGTTGTCAGGTGGCCCTCTTCAGGATAACCCAAATGCATCAGGGAAGGCTGGTCTGCGGAGAAGATTGAGCCCGAAGTTGCTTTATAGAATTTTTGGGCCTCCGGAGAGGTTCCGGCTAGAGCCGCAAATGCCGACTCCTTGCATCTGGGAATGAACTTGGCGTCACCGAAGCTCTTGTAGTTGCCGTTGTTCCCAAGGAACTGAGCAGCATAGTTGAAGAAGTGGTCCAGTTCATCATCTGATATGCCGGTCTTCGCCTGCAAGGCTTTCCAGTCTCCGGCACATGACTTGTGAAGTGCTAAGATGAAATCGAACTATACAGTATATAAATCAGTCCATAGCGCACTTGATGACACAGTATTATCGTGAAATAAGCAGGAGAGGCTCGCTGCTTCTAAAATTGCCCCCAGTGTAAATGCTTGAGTTGGAAACTGCGCAGCTCGTGCTAACACTGCCTGTGCATATGTGCACGGGAATCTATCAAAGTGATATACTTACGGTTGGTTCTGATTCGGGGGAGATCTGGCGGGCGACGACCCTGCTACCCTCAAAGGCAGCTCTAGATGTACCGGTGAGCAGCTGGTGGGAGTCGGGACTCATACTGGGATAGCTATCTACATACCGGCTGATGAAGTGGGCGTATCGTTTTTGCTTGTCGTTCAGTGCATCGAAGTGCTTCTCGATCTCCAGCCTCACAACACTGGGGGGTGCATCGGCGAGATAGTGCTTGAGGTCTTGGGCGTCCATGTTGGTGGAAAGGGAGCGGACGGCGTTGTAGTTGAAGCGGTTGGTTGGAAAGGCGGACTTGAGTGAAGCCGAGCGTAGTGTAGTACTAGAGGCGTGAGATTAGAGGATTGTAGGCGGGAGGCTCTGAGTATCGAAGGTGTACCCCGAGACAGGCGCGACAGGGAGGAGAGGAGGTTCATTAGTGGAGACTTGAACTTTGTACATGTATCCGTCACTCGTCACTGGCAAGACTGGTCAGCACCTTGATGCAGGTGGTGCAGGTGGTCTGATTCCAGACGGATCTCATGCGCCCCGCGTTTTCTCTCCAATTCCCATTGCAGCGCACGCGCCACAGGGTGGCCAAATCGGGCTTCCATCAAAACCAAAACCTCAACACCTCAACACATCAACTCCTCAACTCCTCAACTCCTCATTCGGTCATTCCTGCGAGCACCTCGTGCCTCTTTAGCATCGCCACCGACAAGATCCTCTTGGGGCACATCATGGGCGTTTGCCACCTCACCGCTCATGGCCACGAGTTGGAAGATACTGGACTGGTACCCTAGTTCCTGGCAAGACTAGACCGCCGATACTGGGTCAAGACGACACTCAGGAGTCAGAAGCTGCTTCGGTCACAAACTTCCAGTTACTAGATTCCCCAAGGTTGGTAACCCGTGCCCTACGATGCAAAGAGACTCTGGTAAGGTGCTTCAGGCTACGGAGTCACTATCGGCAGACGCTTTCACCCGAGTACGTCCAATACGCAAGTTCATCCACAGCCGGGGTTGGGGTTGGGGTCAGAGCCCAGCCTAACCCGCGCATCGAGACAGTGTTCGCAACGCATCGGCCATATCCCAAGTAGTCCTTCATGCATCCACGATGGCTCTGGATTTTGACGTGCGGACATATGTCGGGCAACGTGATTCAAGTGAATATGGGAGCAGTTGGCCACGTGGTCGCACAGCGCTAGTTTGGGTCACGAGAGCAGTCGCCCGCTCGACTGTAAGGTAAGCTTGAACGTTCAGCTCCAATCTGCTCGGGCGGCTGTCCGGATGACAGTACCCGCGGGTACATGTGTACGACAACCTGTTGATCGGAGAGCAATCCATCGCGTCCTCGTGATCACTGGTGCTCACTGCGTATGTTAGCATGGACCGAGTCGGGCAATCATCCATGTGCCTGGGGTGCAGGGTGGCATGTATTTGGTTTTCGGGCGAACAAGATGTTTTGCCTGCTACCTGCAAAGACCCGAGCAAATCTTGGTGCGGGAGAGAGGTATGTTACAGGTATGTTACAGGTAAGCCGAATAGTCATGATGATTGTGTTGTTGACGATCGAATACGACGGGGTTGACCTGCCGGACCAGCATGAGGTTTTCTTGAAGCGGTAAACTTCCACACCCATATTCAGCCCAGATGCTTCCGTCTTCCCCGAGCCCTCCCGGATGGACTGCCCCGGTTCTGCCGATGGAACCCGTGAAGGCAGCACGCCCATTGGGGTGGGTTTGCCGGAGCGTAGCCGGACTGAAATGGCCTATCCCGATCCAGCGTTGGGTAGCATAGGCGCGTGACCAACAAGAACATTAGCACACGGCCTCTACAAATTCATGGAATTACGGAAAGGATGCTATTTGGAGCATCCGTAATGAACCGTGAGGCAACCGTGCACCATGCACATGCTGAAAGCATGCAATATACGTGAGTATACGTACTGAGGATGGCAGTTCAGATTCATACCACCGTCACTACCCAAGTCTGGACGTGACTGACATACTCCACATAGGAAAGACTTGATAAGCTGCAGCTTTTCGTGGTCAGATTGATGCGGTCAGAGAGAATGTCATTACACAGGACAACAGCATATATGTACGCATCGTATAGGGTACCTGTAGCTTTGTGACCTGGTTGAAGACTTGAAGGCGCACAAGGTCATGCCGAAGCCACGGAAAACGTTAGAGACTCTCCGATACAGCCACACATGCAAGGACTATAGTAGAGTTTCTAATAGTACATACCTTATACTGACTATCCAGTTAACTGGCATGGCGAGGGGTCAGGGGTAGATATTTGCATGAGGCTACGAGGTCGTTTTCACTCTGTGGCTGGTCTTCCAATCTCGAGTCTCCGACTTGTTGGGCTCGCACCTCCACGACTTGACCGCTTCGCCTTGTTTCGGTTCGGCGATTTGCACCCTCTGGAGTCTGCACTCTCCCGGATCCACCTCCACATCGGAGATTCAGATTCGGCCTGTTCAGTACAATGCACCATCTGCATGCAGTGCAACACATCAAATACCATGTCAAGATCGGTGCCACGTGTAACCTCGCACTTGTTACCTGCTTGTTGCTATTCTGTGGTCCGTGGAGACGCACAGCTCGAACGAAGCATTGTGAGGTGACGGAAAAGCAGCATATTCGGATCTCTTATTATTAGGTTCCTGGTACCCCGGACCACATCTGGGAATTTAAACCTCACATGACGTTCATCTGACAAAGCCCAGATCAGTTTGCCCCGGTAAAGCATCGGCTTCCATTAATGACATCGGGTCATCCTTCCTCCCGCTCCAACTTGACCCGACCCGGCATTGTCTGTCGGCTCTCGCCCGCCTTGAGATGGTGTCTAAGGTACCCCCCACTTGTGACTTGAAACTTCGATGTTCGCCGTCGGGCTCTCTGAGAAAGGTACTTCATTACAAGTTCTCAAATGTGTACCTGTCTGGTACTCCCAGACCCCCACCCCCTCATTCAATGTCGAGTAGCAAAGGGGCTGGAGCCGGAATCTTCCCCAAGGGGAAATTGTGTTAAACACCCAGCCGCGCCTGATTGGCTCGTCATCACCAGGAATTGCCTTCTTGGATATGCAGAAGAATGGATCCTGCACAATCTCGCGCGCCAGCTCCTGGTAGCCAGGTATCGGGTACCTAGCCTGGTAGATGACGGAACTCCGGGTTGCAGTTGCTTGTTCCCAGCTTCCCATTCGTCACTGTGGCACAGGCCCCGACTCCTAAATTCCTAATTTCAGTACCGTACCGTCCCTGCCCGGGTATTTCATGGATGTTCGCTCTCGAATTCGCCCGGGTCATCCCTTCCATCCCTTCCATTATGTTTCCATGTAAAAAGCAAAGCCCCGGCCGGCTCCTGCTCAGTGCTCAGGCGCATTGCTCGGTGCCCATTGCTCAATGCCCGCTGTCCACTCATCATAAAGGCATCCCCTTCCCGTCGTCGGCGCCTCGGGGCACTTTGCCGTCCTCCAGCTGTTCCTTTGTTGCGATGCCTTGATTCCTTACCACCCATCTTCTTCGTATCATTATTACCTTAGCCTTGCTTTGCTTCCCTCCTTGAACACCTCTGTTTCGCCCCAGCATCCCTCAGGCCTCGGCTCACTTCAATGCTCTCGTGCACTCGCCATTGAGCTTCGCGGTTCTATAGCGAGCCCAGCTCTTGCTACTTAGTCTACCTACGAACCACGCCTCGTATCTTGATATCGTATAACACCACCTACACACGTACTGGCTTTGCAAAGTTGAACCAACCGAAACCCATCCGCGAAAGAGAAAGAAATTATGTTATCGTGTGACACTCCGGCCTCGGTGAATGGGCAGCAGCACTCATCTCCAGCGAATATGGCTGCATCGAGAAATGGTGATCTCGGACCTAACCCGAAACCGATCAACCCTGCCGTTGTGCCAGTAACGTCGGACAAGACTATTGCGAAGCACGATGGCCAGCCTGCGCCGAGCCACCACCACATTTGGCTCGTTACTGGCCCTGCTGGGTGTGGGAAGACGACGGTTGCCAAGCACTTGTCGACGTCTCTAAAGTTGCCGTATATCGAGGGTGATGAGGTACATAAACCAGCTCACGACCCAGATGCCAAGTTCAAAACCCGTCTTGCGCGCAGTCTGCTAACCGGAGCGCCTCTAGTTCCACCCCAAAGCGAACGTAGAGAAGATGGCGAACGGGATCCCGCTGACGGACGCTGACCGATGGGACTGGCTTACGCTGCTGCGCGAGGAGTCTTTGCGCCAACTCGCTGCCGGCGCCGACGGAGTCGTGCTCACTTGCTCGGCGCTCAAGCGCAAATACCGGGACGTTATCAGGGTGGCCCCCTACTACTCGCACGACGTCGTCCTCCACTTTATATACCTGCACGCCCCCGAAGCTGTTCTCCAAGAGCGCGTCGGCGCGCGACACGGGCACTACATGGGCGCCAACATGGTTCACAGCCAGTTTACGATATTAGAACCGCCGACGGCAGAAGAGACGGACGTGATCAGCATCGACGTGAGCGGCCCGGAAGCTCAGGTGCAGAAAGAGGCGCTGGACAGAGTCGTCAAGGCTATCGACGAGGTTGCGTCGCCTGGTCCGGCGTAGAGAGCGCGGGTCAGGCGGGTCAGGCAGGGCTACAGAATGGCTGCACATGCCGCGAGTCAAATGGCTGCACATGTCACTGATCAGCGTTATGTCAATTCGCAAGCGAATATGAGGATTGTTTCTGGCATAGACTCTGGCGCATACGTGGGCACTGGGAAGGGGGGTTAAATCGTGGCTCGGTTATTCGAGGGCACCTGCATTTACGGGCTGCATTGCGAGCTGCCCTTATAGGGTTTTCTAATATCTTTGGAAATTCCGACTTTCGATTTCCCCGGAGTATATAGTGAGTACGTACGAACTCTCTCGCATACGATGTTACGGCGCGAGATCTAGGTCAATATAGACTTCCGGTTCTTCAGGGAAATCCATCTTTCGAGGAAGGTGACATGCAATCTACACACCGCCAATGCTAATGCTACCTGCAGTAGACGAGTCCTACGGTGGGAAATGTAGCAAACACCTATCACCAAAGGGGAATTCGGTCGATTGCTCCCGGCAAGGCTGTATGTAGGTCCAGTTCGAAACGTCATTATTCCCTCTGCCACGCTCTGCGTCGTCGACGCATTTCCGCTACGCTACGTTACGTTACGCTTTGATGTTGTTGCGCCACGGCTCGTCCATACATAGGTTCCTCTGGAGAACTGCCGTAAGGCAAAACGAAATAAAAGCAGTCGCCCCTTTTGCCCGGACTGCCCCGGCCGGCTGTGCAGCAATCAGCCAGTCAGCCCCACGCATTACTCAACCTACACGCCCTCCGACCCCCAAGCTTCAACCCTCAACAATTCCTTCTCCCAACTTTAGCAGAAAAAACTCCCCCTTCCTACAGTTCCCACCCTCAGGTCCACGGTTTCGAGCGGCTTCTCGGAAGCCAGCGCAGAGGTGGAGTCGATGGCATATCGAGCTGTCAAATCGCATTGCTTATACGGCGCGGCCGGTAGCTGCATACACAGAGGTCACGCTGCCCACGATCCATTGGCTGCCCCCAGAGGTTCATACGTATGAGCAAGGGCTATGGAAACTGGGGTATGTCTTGGCTCTGCTTACACCCCGAAGCAAAGACACCTCAACCAGCAGCGAGGGTCCGTTACATGCGGAAACGCTTTGGTTGGAGACGACGACCTGCACCATGCATGCCAGCCTAGCCTTGCGACTCGCTTCTAGTATATGATGTGTCAGATCTCAGATCCCCAAGAAAGAAAATCTGATCATCTTTCTGCTGTAGTGAGCGCAGCTGACCGCCTGGCGGGGGATACCGTCCGTCTGCTCAGAGCCATCTATATTCCTTGACCTGACGCAAGCATCACCGCAGATGCAGAACCATCATATCGGGCTCCTCCACAGTCTGGCGCACCACCTCGGCCGCGCGCGCCATCGTCGCCCCGTCCACGACGCGGTGGTCGGCGCTCCAGCTGAAGTTGCAGACCTGCTTCTTGATGACCCGGTCCTCGTCGTCGAAGGCTGGCACGGTGCGCATGCGGCCGATGCCCAGGATGGCGACCTCCCGCTCGACGATCACGGGCGACAGATAGGTACCGCCAATGTTGCCGATATTGGACACGGTGATGGTACCGCCACTCAGATCCTGGGGCGATAGTTTGCCCGCCGCCGCCTGGGTCTGCAGGCGCGCCAGCTCGGCGGCGATCGAGAGTACGTTCCGCGCACCCACGTTCTTGATCACGGGTACCAGAAGCCCTGACGGCGTGTCCATCGCCACTCCAATGTTGTGCTGACTGCGGTGCACGAGAGCTGGCTTGCCGTTGCCAGTGCCGGCCGCGGCCTGTGGATCGACGTCTACGCGCGCGTTTAAGATCGGGTACTGGTAGATAGCCAGCGACACGGCCTTGATGATGAACGGCAGGTAGGACAACTTGGATACTTCACCCTCCTTGGCCACTGTCTGCGACGACAGCACCTTGTTCAGCCGCCGGCGCAACTCATAGAGTTGCGAGAAATCGACCTCGTCTGCGTATAGGAAGTGCGGTATGTTCAGAGACCGTGTCATGGTCTTGAACATTTGGTGTTGGGTGTTCGTCAGCTGCACGGTAGTTTCCGTCTGCTTTTCGGTATCTATGTGTGCTGAAAGAGATGCGCTCGTCGGCTGCGTAGGCTGGCTGGCCGAATCCCTCGTCTCGACGAATTTATATATGTCTTCCTTCAACACTCTGCCGTCCTTTCCGGTCCCTGGGACATCCATAATGTCTATATTCAGCTCTTTCAGCCGATGTCGTACGGCTGGTGTGGCTAGCGACGCATGTTTGCCCTTCGGCTGTGGAGGCGGGGACTCTGTAACCTCAACCTCTGCGATTTCCCGACTACTGCCCCCAGAGCTTTGCGCTCCTGGAGGCTGATTCAACGACTCCTTATTCAAGGGCTCAGAAGCACCCTCCTTTGCCGGCTCCGGGACGGTCAACGCCTCCAAGTCCTCCTTTTTGACATCCCCCTGTATGTCGATGTCTACGAACGGCTTGCCCACCTTGGCCATTTCGCCCGCGTCATAGTATAGCTTCTTCACGACGCCCGAGAACCGACTCGTGATCTCTACGGAGGCTTTGTCGCTCTGTACTTCGCATAGCGGTGAGAACTCCTCGACGCGTGCTTCGGGCTCGACGAACCATTGGATGATTTCGCATTCGACGATGCCTGGAAGAAGTATTAGCTGACAATGATAATGACGATGATGTCTAATCCTATATCCTCACCTTCGCCTATGTCCGCGAGCAACACGGGCTTGACCACTTGCACACACCTCGTCGAGTGGAAGCCCCTTGGAATCCCGTAAGCACCGCGAACCTGGGGATCCGCGATGCGACTTAGACCCTGGTAAAGTCGCCATTGACGCCGAACGGCGCGAGTCCCGCGTTGGAGGAACATGGTAATTGTGAGATCGAAAGTATTATTGCAGCTATCACATCCTAATAACGAACTAAAAACTTCTTAGACAAAGATACGGTGAAATGCCTGCTGACATGATGTTTGCTTGAGGGAGCAATGAGGCATGACGCCGCAGCTGAGCGAGCTGTCCCTCCCCCACGATTGACCCGCTGCTACCCGCAGTCTGGGGCCGACGATGGCCGCGAAGCTACAAATATTCCCGTCATTGGTCACCCAAGCTTATCGATTAGCCCTCAAATCGCAAACATGATGTCGGCTCGCCGTGTTCCTGCAGCTCCGATCCGACATTAAGGGTGGAAATTTATTCGCGACGTAGCTAATCGACGACGACTCCGGCCCGGACTGTTGATCGTCAACGCCTCGATTCGGCATGATCTTGAGAACATGACATATCTGTATATCGCCATGTTCAATCGGTCCATTTGAGAATGTCGTTCGCGAGGAAACCAAGTCTGCTCTGCTGGCTGTGCCAGTCGCGAGCCTTCAGCACATCCTACCGTCGTCTCGCGGAGCAAGCAACGATGATCACCACAACGACCACCAAGCCGGCGAAGATCTCAACGACCCCCTCGGCACCGCCGCCGCCGCCCAAAAAGTTCATACCAGCTTCGCCCCTTGAGAACGCGCCGAGAAGCTACGGCAAGCGCCTGGAGGAATTCACGCCGACGCCGCTGAGCCGGCCCATCGGGCTGCCGTACCCGCCGCAGCCGGGCCAGAACACGGGGCTAGACTTCCGCACGATGCGGCAGCGGCGGGACGACTTCGTCAACATAGACAAGCACCTACAGAGGCGCGAGGAGCTGAAGAACAAGATCTCGCGGCCCTACTTCCGCGACTGGGGCAACCTGCAGTGGCACAAGGGCAAGACGTTCATCGCGCCGCCGCGGCTGTTCCGGGGCGACCTGTCGCTGTACTTCCCGAACCTGTACGGGACGACGCTGCTCAAGGACGACGGCGAGCCGCGCGACACGACGCCGACGCTACAAGGCCGCGTCTCCGTCGTCAGCGTTTTTAGTAGTAGGTGGGCCGACGACCAGACCAAGACGTTCGCGTCCCGGCAGCACAACCCGGAGCTGGCGGCGCTGCTCGAGGCGCACACCGACCGCGGCGCCCAGGCCGTGCGCATCAATGTCGAGGAGGACGCCATGAAGGCCCTGCTGATCAGGCTGTTCATGGGCGGCCTGCGCAGGGAGGTCGGCGAGCCGAACTGGGACAAGTACTTCGTCGTGCGCAAGGGCGTGTCGGATGAGATCCGGGAGGCCATCGGCTTGTTGAATAGCAAGGTCGGCTACGTCTACCTGGTCGATGCCGAGTGTAGGATAAGGTGGGCCGGCAGTGGTCTCAGTGAGGACCATGAGCGCGAGAGCCTTGTCAAGAGTGTTCAGCGGCTGCTCGAGGAAGGAAAAAAAGAGGAGAAGGGGAAGAAAAAGGAGATCCTGTAGGCCTTGTTGAGATAGTGTAAGATACGTCAAAGATGATACCCAACTTTCACTCAACAGTCATGCAGCTTCAGTCTTCAGTTCATTCCATCAGCATTCCCAGACGCCCCTATCCACACCCTGGACGAAATGGTACCATCATTTGGTAAACGTGATATTCTTCAAATTGTCCCTACGAGATGTATATGACCAAGGACGTGCGTGCCTTTTCCGATGGGTATGCAGACAACCTTCCAGACCGTACTATACAGTATATAAAAACCTCTTGCCGTGCCGAATGTTGCCATAACGCCTTGCAAATCATATTACAGTATTGACATCTGCAGCACCGAGGTATATTCTTCCCAGACCAAATCATACCAGCCAACACGTGTCCCACCGATCACATGAAGAACCAAAAGAAGAGAAAGCAGAAGGTAATGAAGCCGCCCATGATGAAGCCATCCCGCCGCTTCCGCGCGGATATCCTGCTTATCAGCGAGTTCATACCCGGAACCTGGCTCGCCGCCATTGTGATTTTCCGGTTGATGTTGGCCAGCGTCTCACGCTGCACGGAGAAGCTCTCGCTGGTCGCGTATGCTTGGCTCAACACACTGTCGACCATGTTGTGACTGTTGTCGATTCGGTTCCGCTCGTCCAACATGTATTCCGCCTCGGCCGCCTCCGGGTTATTCGCTCTGTACGTTTCGATGTCGTCCCGCACGTTCGAGAGTAAGTTCACCTTATTCCTAGCATCCTCCAGGCGCGATCGCAGCCGGCGTAGATCTCGCCTATGTTCGGCCAGCTTCTCGCGGAGGAGGGACAGGTTGTTCTGTTTCAGGGCGGAGGATGTGAGACTCGCTTCCGAGTCTAGAAGACGGGCTAGTTGATTCACAACGTTATCCCTCTGTGAATGATTGTCAGTCCTGACAGCCCGCGACTGGGTATGGTGACATATAAGCAGGTAGCCTTACTTTGTCCAGTATGTCCTCCAATTTAGCTTCTGTGTCTTTCTCTTCCGTACTTGGTTTCGGGGGGATGTTGGCTACAGCGGAGTACTGTGAGTACGTGTGGAACAGAGTCTCGGTCTGCAAGTTGCGCAGTCAGTCTGCCGTACCCGAATTTCATAACTAGGGGGCTCCTCGTACTTGAGACTCCAAGTTCCGAGCCTGTTGACGCAATTGGGCCCAGCCCTGGTTGCTCGTTGTCGCCGCCATCGTCAGTTTGGAGTAACAACTGTATTATATTCCAGGATCAAGCGCGATGACCACCAAGCTTCCTGGAGCTACGTGGCGTGGTGTAAATACAGGCGCAACTGATGTCCCGAATGCGGCTGCGTCGTAGGGCGGTGACGCAATAGTACCGAGCTCGCACTCTTGAGCAGCAGATGGCTTCTGCAGAGGTGAGCTTGGGTCTAGAGATCTGATGAGACAAGATAAACGAGGAGCTTGTGACTGGTCGCCTTAGAATGGTTGCAAGTGGCTGCGAATGCGCGTGAGACTGCGTTCTTGAGCGACTTGCAGGTGGCCAAGGAGGTTGCGATTGATTGACCCTTAGCTCCAGACAAGGTTGCAAAGTCCGAGGACCCCTGTTCTCGGCAGACCCGCAAAGGCTGCATAATAGTGCAAATGATGCATTAAACGGGCTGGAGTCACATGACCTTGAAATTTAGCCCACAACCCTAGGTACCGAGTGAGAATCTCCAAATCTTTTGCCTCGGACTCTGAAAAAAACAGTGGCCGCATTTCACGACAACCTCGACCATCTACCGGAGACCGACCAATTCCTCGCGCCCAACGCTGTAATTCAAGATGGTAAGTCGACTGACATCCTGCATATTCACGATATCCAGCGCCACCGATCCCGAGAGATTCGCAGCTAATTCGTGATGACATTCCCGCAGTCCACAGCAAAGGTCAAGACAGGTCAGCTGTTCAGCAAGAACAAGGATGACCTGATGAAGATGCTCGGCGAGCTCAAGACCGAACTCGGTCAGCTCCGCATCGCAAAGATCACCTCCTCCGGCTCCAAGCTGAACAAGATGTACGTTTCCGAACTTTCGCGAACCCCTCGATCGACCCCTCGGCAGTCTGCCAACTAGTGGAGGTCACGCGATATGGGCGGTGAATTGAATGGGAAGAGAAGCGCTGACCTGGCTCCGTCCCATACAGTCACGACCTGCGAAAGTCGATTGCCCGAGTCCTCACCGTCGTCAACCTGAAGCAGCGCCAGCAACTGCGTCTGTTCTACAAGAACAAGAAGCACCTGCCCCTCGACCTCCGCCCCAAGCAAACCCGTGCCATCCGCCGTCGCCTATCACCCGAGGAGAAGTCAAAGACGCTGGAGAAGACCAAGAAGCGATCCACGCATTTCCCGCAACGCAAATACGCTGTCAAGGTATGCTGAGCCCACGCCACCTACCAACACATGTGATCCAAGGAGATGGTCATTTATACTGATACGGGATGGTTTTTAGGCTGCTTAGATGCTTCTTCACGGCCTTGATGAGAAAGGGACTGGTTCGGTTGTAGAGGGCGCGGTTATTCCAAAAAGGAATCCTGACATTTGCATGGCATCACACGGCTTTTTCGGTTCATAGGTGTTACGAGGTCACTTGCAGCCAATGTCGCTACCCAATGCGAAAAGAATTGCCTCCGGGCGCTGAACAAAACAATCAGTCTGTGTCTTGCTTATGGAAATGTCAATGATGAGGCTGCACCTGGGAACGACCGCACGATGCAATGGTCACGATGAAGAGCTGAGAGACTGTCATCGGCAGCTGCAGTCTGTCGGTATGCCATGACCGGCACGGCCTTTTGATTGCCTGAGGTCGCGGACATGTCAGGTAGCCTATTCTGTTGTCGACAGCTCCCAAACCCATATGAATCAGAACCTTGGCCGAGGTCTATAGCCACTGTGTACCAGAGTGAAAGCCATCAACCATTAAGGAGAGTGCCTCAGGAAGAGTCCTGGCCAGTGTTCAGGCCTTCAATCGGACTTTGATCGAGCATGATCCATTATACTCTGCACGGTTCTTAGAGCACTGCTCCCTGAGCATTACTGCAGGCCTGTATATTTGAATGTCCTTCACTGATCTAGACCCGGCCTGAGAGTAGGTATTTTCAGCACATCGCTCTTGAATGTTTCCCGCACGTAGGTAGTTCCCAACATCACGAGATTATCTCTCCCTTGAGGCATACCGGCGGTCCTTTCGTATGTTGACACGCACACCTAACAAATGTCGTATATACACATGATAGAGTCACTTTGGCGAAAGGCCAACTTAAAACTGCATGTGCCTAACACGCAACACGACTAAACTGCCTACACGTATGAGCCGGCGTTGGCACCCTGACCTGGGCCCTGGGTTGAGCTCATTGCCATGCATGCCATACATACAACCACCCAACCCCCATCTCATCCCTTCACCACCACAGCCATATCTGAAACTCTACCAACACACCTCCCTAATCCCAACTACGTCCTCCAGATGTTCCTATCATGGTAGTTATAATCCCTTCATCCAATATGGGCCACACGCCCCTCCATCTGGATGAGCTGTATGTCAGGACTCCTTAGCATCGCCCTCACCCCCAAGCGACTGACTATACACCTCGCTCTCTCGTGGCGTAGGAAGACGCTCCCAAATCAGGTGGATGAGCTGCTTTAGAATACAATCACAGGAGACGTGTTCAAACATGGGGAGACTCGGTGGGAAGAACAATCAAGAACGTTCACAGATGGGCCCTTGCCTGATGCTGCGACCAGGAGGTGTGTTGTAACGCATGCAATTTGTCATGATAAGACTATTCGTTAAAGGCAGCACTTCTGTCCCGTGATGGGAAAAAGCATGCCGCTTGCAATGTGGGCTTGCCGAACTCCCGGGCCCTCCGCCGAGTCTGCCGTTCCGATGCTGCCCTAGGGATATGAATATGGTTGAGCATCGCTCAGCTAAATATGGGATATCTATAATGTTACTCTTAAGGCCTTCGTCGTCGCCGCGAGTCCCTCTTCTTCTCATCGTTGCATGAGTCACTACGATGACTTTCTCTTTTCATGGAGCCGCAAAGGCAAGATTGGCCCATAGTCTTGGGCTGGTGGTTCGCCGCCAGCCTACTCTTCCATCTGAGACGATTGACTGAACTGCTCGTCTTTCGATGATGCGAAGAATGGCGTATCTTCTGGAGTGGTCGGCCCTGCAGAAGGTGTACTCTGCTGCGCCCGCGATCGGGCGTCCAGCTTCTTCTTATGTCTTTCATGCGCCCCCTCATGTCTCTTCAGTTGGTCCAGACGAATGAATCCCCTGCCACATTCGGAACATATGTGATTGAAATGGGCCTTATGAATCTTGCGATGCTTGGATAGGTTGGATGATTCGCCGAAACATCTGCCACAAACGTCACACTTGAGCGGCTTTTCTTGAGTGTGTGTCCTTTGATGCATGGCTATCTTCGGTCAGTCCCGAGTGTCAATAATGTATACGCAAAGGGGAACATACTGAGGGCACTCTTTTGCTTGAACTTTTTGCCGCAATCATGGTAAGGGCACTTGTACGGCATATCTCCTGTGTGGATCCTGATATGCTGGTCAAGGGCTTGCTGTGCCGAAAACCCCTGATGGCACTCCACGCATTCGTAAGGTTTATCTATAAGTACTGTGAGCAGGCGGTACAAAGAAAACGGGGATTTTACTTACAAGCACTGTGAGTGTTGACGTGACGGTTCAGCTTGCCTCGCGCCGTAAAGGGCTGGCCATTCTCCTGTCGGGTGCAGCCTTTCCACATACACGGGTAGTTGCCCGACATCTGAGAAACATGGTCCTTCTCTATGTGCGTCTGTAGTTCGCCAACATTCTCGAGAATGTGGCCACAAGGCTTCTTCTCGGTGGCCGAATCCGCGGAATCAACAAGCCACTGACAAGGCAGCCCGGTTGGTCCATCAATCTCTTGCGAGACTTCCTTCGAGCACGCCGGCTGCGTGATGATGAAAGGCGAAGATGCTAGGTCTCGGTCGGGCTCGGTGGGAGTGGCAAAAACTTGGTGGTTCGCTGTCGGCTGTGCGGTTATCTCAAGCGAGGAGAACGGCTGCTGCAGTGCCGTTTGATTTTGTGCATTGGAGACTCCCGGTGCTCCCATGTTACTCAGAGCATGCGCGACGACATGTTCGGTAGGGGTATGATTGCATGGCTTGTGTACTGCCGGCTCTAGGCCTGACTGCACGTCAGTATGCCAGCTGTGGTCCACTTCCCACTTCGGTTGAGGAGGCTGTTGTTGTGTGCCATCCAAGCAGTTCACGTCCTCACATCGGGTCTCGTCGTCAGCACAGGCTTCGTCCTGGCAGAGAGTAGAGCAAGAGCAACATTGGCTGGAATATTGACTACAGTCCATCGACGTACAATCATCTGGTACGTGGTCCGCTAACGTGCCGAGGTCGTCCTTGGTAAAGCCTTGAGTAGTTGGGTTGGCGTAGCCATGGTTGAGGTGATGGGGCGTGAATATATCTTGCTCTTCAGGGAATACACAGTTCCACGGCGGGATGTACGCTATGTGGGACGGCACGGCAAAGAGCCCAGATCCGTACGACGGAGAGGTAGTAACATTGCGTGCTCTCTGGTTGTGGGAGGGCGGATAGGCTCCGGGCTGCTGTCTCTGCGGAGCGGAGGCGACACGACACAAGTCGATGCAGCGGTCATCGTGAGATGGGTGGTATGCGTCGTGGAGGCTCAGATTAGAGGGCGCCACAGTGTCGGAATATGCCCAAAAGGGATGGTACAACTGATCGCGGTCTGCCAGGTTAGCTGGCGCATGGAGGCCGAAGCTGGCATACTCGGGATCTCCAGACTCGTCCATCGAGGTAGCGGTCACGATGGTGTTCGGCGCGCGGAATGGCCCGGGGGGAGAGGCTATTCGGAAAGGTGCCGCGCTGGGCGGCAGAAATCGTTGTGGTGGGTAGGCTCGATTGGCAGGCAACACGTCGGTGCGCAGCCGTCGACAGGTTGGCGGACAGTGAAGAAATAGCAGTCTTGAGAGACATACCTTTGTAGCCAGGAATATTCTTGCCTAAGGTATGAAGCACAAAAATATCAAGACTAATGGCAGAGGGCGTGGGAGCGGGAGTGGGAGTTGACCAATTTTGGCGAGGACCTTGATGGAGGACCTTGATGGACTGGCAGGCGTCGCGTGGAGGCGGGCTACTAAGGAAGGTACAGTACATGTAAGTGGTCTAACCTTAGCACCTGTCTACCTTAAAACTCTAAGAACTATAAAATAGAGCGAACGTGTTCCAGTATGTACCTGGGGTTCTGTGCCTTGCCGCAGGCCTGGATGTGCTCGGAAACCTCGTGGGACCAGGTCGAGGCATATGCTTCCTTCGGTTGTTGAATCTCCAGCTGCTGTATGGTGTACCAGTACTGGCGCAGGACAGGAACAGAAAAAAGAAGCTGCGGTCCACTTGGTGGGGGAAACGGCCAGCCAGCAAGGTTCCCAAACCGTAATCCGCGGTCGCACCAACGCACCAATCAGGGCATCGCGCACGATGCGAACACCAGCCAGGCGGCGCAGCTGCTGCCAGCCGAGGACAGCACGCACAGCAAGGAGGGAGTGCACCAGTCAGTGGATGATACTACCTCCCATGAATGTGCTGTCTGCTCTGACGCCAGCTTGAACTTGTACCTAGTCACTCTGTACCTGAGTTGAGTACTGTAGAACTTGCAGTGAAACGGAACTAAGGTTAGGAGATTCAAAAACTAGAATATCCAATTCTGAGCTGCCATGGTCTGTGTCTGGCCTCTGCCCCTCTCCTCACAAGCTCATCGTCTCCCCCGCACCCGAGATCAGGGGTCCAAACCGGACACCACCCTGATCATCACTTCACCCCTTGTCACAGTCTTCGCCCTGTCTCGACCTCCTCGCGGCAAATGATATACATCACAGCACCTCAAACGAGTCCTTACATTCCACGTGTGTAGCACAACCCCGCGTGTTACCAAGCCCACCGTGGTCTTCTCTTACATACATTACATACGAAACCCTAGGCCTTCTCATACAACAGCCGCCGGCGAGGACAACACACCAACACACCATACAGCAGAGGCGCCGGCCATGGGCAACATATGCGGTAAATCAGACGGCGAGAACTTCTCACAGCCGGGCCGAGTTCTGGGCTCAGCTCCGCCACAGCCGCAACGCGCATCCATCCCGGCCAAGGTCACCGGGCCCCCTCGGACCGTCGGCGGGGGTGATGCAAACGCAGCGGGAGCGTCGCAGAACAACAACGCCGAAGACGCCCGGAGACGAGCCGCAGAGGCCGCAGAGGTAGGATCCGACAATCCCGGCTCCGACGGTCCCGGTAATCGAGCACGCTGCTAATCACGGTGGATAAACAGGCGAGGGCGAACGCGGCGTCGTCTAAATCTACGGGGAAGCTTGGGTCACAGCTGGCCGCGCAGAAGAAGCAGACCAGGAACGGCACGCTTCAGGAGATCAGCAATAACGAGAGGAGGCAGCGAGATGCCGACGAGGCCGCTGAGACGAGAGTGCATAGTTGAACTCGGCTAGCTTTTTGGTGTGATATCATGTACCTGCTATGCCGCGGGTCTGCGCCCCGCCATCTCCAGTGTGGATAGTCATAACCCAAGAGCAACTATCTAGGATAACGTGTTACCAGCCATCTCACAGCGGGTTACATCTGGAGAATACAGTCACTATTCTCCGTATGGGGGGCTCAACCATCGGGGCTACTGTTCGAGAACATAGCAGAAACCGGAGCGAGCTACCAGAGAACGGACAGAAGTCCGCCGCCATGATATTCTCGCCGACTATGAATGGGGTTCGGTTGAAGCCAGGATGTTTTGATGCTGAGCCTGACCAGAACGGCCTCGCCGCCACTTGTGCGAGGCTTCTGACGCACCGCTACCTTTCAAATTGTCCAAAGGCAATGTATGCATTTGTCAATCCGCTGTTCTGTGGCACTGTGCTCAAATATCCCATATATCAGTAGCTCACTTTGGGAGGCATATCTTCTCTCCACTAAAGTAGTAGATAGTCGCTAAGACTCATTCACTTGGGCAGATACTCACTCGGTCCATGTAGTTACAGTCTGCTTTTCCCTTACGCATTCAGGCATGGAGTCCAGCCAGCATCCCGATCTCTTCTCCAGCCTACGTCACCGTGACTCGTGGCCGACCACCCCGACTATGCACAATGATGACGATGATCCGTACTGTTACCGAGTTGCTTCGTCCTCTTGTTGTGTCATGTTGAGCAGGAAGCCTTATGCTGCTGCTTTTTCACGCTACCATGATGGCGGGACAACATGAATATCTGTGAGTGCTGGGTGTGGCTTCTCGTGCTGGACCATGAATGACCACTAAGGGTTCATGGGTGCGGCAACGTCCTTATGAGTTGATCATGGAGCAGGGAACAAGCAGTGTTCAGTAATGGATAAATGTTTCGCTGAATATACATGAAGAACGAGCAACTCGCCGTTCATGGTTTCCTCCTATTCGCCAGAGAGAGCATCGCATCGTATACAACTCACAGCTCGCCAGCGGAATATGAAGTCTTCCGTCAACTTGATTCCAATTGAGGCCCTCTTAATAATTTAGCATTTCATAGCTTCGCAGTACCTCTATGTTCATAAACAGAGGGCATCAGTATTCTTCGACGAGCGTGATGAGATATAGTAATGGAGGGCATGATGAGAAGCAGCGACCCTGGGCTTTCCCGAATGAACAGTTGTTGTACCCGTCACCTGGAAGCAATGCCGAGGACCTTCTCATCAGATACGGGGTAACGCGAAGTATGCCTCGCAACCATTTATGGATGACTTGCTGCACAGGTCCGTCTTTCACCGGCTCGCCATGCGACTACATCGCACCAACTCCTTCCGGTGACTTTGAGCTCAAAATACCGCCATGCATTGTTCTACAGGTAGATGCTCTGGGTTTTCGAGGTCTCAGGGTTTTCCCCGTATACATCTACGTCATCTATAGAGTTCCCAGAACGGGCCGGGGAGCTTCGTGGGACGCTGCCTGCTTTAATGGCACGAGTACATAGCCGAGTTGAACGAACAGGTGTATACAAGATATTTGTGAGATTTATGGATGTCCTGTATTGAAAGAGGAACAAGGTTAGCTGATGGTGGTACCTTCTTACTTACATAGGTGGGAAAGGTCATGAGATCTCACAGGATGACACATACTGCTCAGAACAAGGCTAGATGCGCCACTGAGCACGTATTCTGACAATATTGGCGACGAAGAAAGCAGGCTCCATGATGTTACTTGCTGCACGGTTCTGTTTGGCCCTATTGATAGCCTAGAGGCTAGGATAATGAGCACATCATCGTAACCTATATTATGACTGCTCGAGGAGCTCAAACAAGCATAATTGAGTGGTGTCTCTACTCTTTTGCGCAAGGAGCTTGATCATGAACATCAGATCGCGGTCGACATCTTCGGCATGTGCTGTGGCTGATGCGGTAGCAGGTTCACATCCAGTATGATTCTCACTTTGACTAGCTTCTTCCCCCTAACTATATGCTCTTCTATAGTATCTGACAGTTGACGGTAGATTAAAGTTGTCTCCTACCGTCTGGTCATGTAGATTAACAAGACAGCAAGCCCTTATACTTGCATTGTATCTTAAACACGAATAATAAGCTCCCTCTTCAAATAGAAGAGCATCAAACGTTAGAATACTGGTTCGTACCCCGTGTCACGGTGCGTGTTGAACAAGGTCAGGGGCCTGGTAAAAAATCGTATGTAACTGATTGCTGAAGTATATTGCACTCTCGAGAGGATGACAAGCGAGAATCACCGCCCAGGGCGTCGTGGCCTTGCAGGAAACTCGCAGAATCCTCGCTCGGCGAGAAGGGGATGGGCGCTGAAAGTTTGGCATGAAGAAGTGTACCTGACCGTTGGTGGCGCTGAGAGCTTAGCGACTGTTCACGAGGCCACTGCCTGTCCGATTACTTACCTTACTCACGAGTACTCTGTACGCGCGGAGTCATGCCAGGATCTACGTCTGGCAATAACCTGCGAGTGGGCCAAAAGGCTGAGCTGAAAGTGTATGAATCCAGGAGCGACGGGGCTTGTACGGATATCAAGATTCATAGGCCAGAAGACACACAAGGCAAAAATCATGCTAGTGGCGTCCCGTCAAAGGCGCCGGAATACGTACTCATGGTCATGTAGAAGAAGCCCGAAACTGTCCTCCCGACCACGATTGGTCCTATGAGCTCGCACCAAGGACACGCGGGGCAAAAAGACGGACAAGAATGTGGCATGTAACCACCGTAAAGATCCAGCTCTGCAAGCCAAAGAGTGAAGATAAGTACGGCGTAAAAATTCGCTAAGCCTTACCAACCGGGCCGTAGTCTAGAACCTTAATGCTAATGTGGTCTATGTATCACGCATGACCTAGAGTATGGAATCCTAGCACGTGGGGGAAGCGCTGGTATGAGATTCACGTGGCTAATGCATGGCTAGGGGAAACCTTACCTTTCGAGCTGAGAAAGTGCCGACATCTAAGTTTCCATTTACACAGCTAGGCCTTAGTGTCTGTTGATATGGGTCATGATCTGAAGGGCACCAAGCATGAATGATGGATGGATTAGTATTGTGATCTCAGCGATCGAGAACAGTGGTGCCATCTTCTCACCAGGAGATTAATGGCGCTTGGATTTCAGCATGTGGAACTCATTCTCTTGATCAAGTGTAAGTATACCCAAATGTCGTACATGCTCTTGATGAAAGGGAAATAGGGACTTATCGCGAGTGGAAATACCACATTGGCCACGGACATTCGTCATGTGTAATCACTCGACCAAGTCCTGTTGCTGATGAGGCTTTGTTTCCTGCTAAGTCGTGCGTGTCAGTGAACGCCCACTTGTTGCCTGATGTGAGTATAATACAGCCTGCCTTGCTTGATCCGCATCCATCTCTTGATACACGAGCGCAAATGACCAAAATGTGGAAGTGGCATAAGCAACGATTCGGTGCGGCCACTGAAATAAGCGCTTCTGCCAGGCGCTTGGGCCTGCCTTCACGTAACGCTATAGCGACCACCAATCGGTGCCCTATTGTCTGCGTCGGCGGCGGCCACCGTTCCCTCCTTCAGTAGGCGGGTGAGTTCAGCCATGGCATTGGCTACAACCAACTCGGTGTCACCCTCCACCAGAATGTAAAGCTTCGGCTCTGCGCCAGATGGAACCTCCTTGCCAGCCGGGTAAAAGTTGCCCTTCGTCGTGATAGACGTTCCTGTGGCTTCGAGAATCTTGGCTACGTTGGTACGGTTGGTCACAGCCCAACGGGCCTTCTGAGGGAAGTCGTTGATCTCGAGAGTTGCGTGATACGCGCCAGCATCAGGTCCCTTGTTGTCGATAGGCTGCCCCGGACGAAGCTGACCAGCCCGACCCAAGCGTGCGTTGATGGCGTTGATGGCAGATGATACCTTGTCCAACGGGTTGTTACCACCCCCAGCTGTCGGAGCGGGCACTTCACGCTTGTGGATGGTGAATTTGGGCTCAAGGTCTACCTTCGGAGCAGCATCGCGAGCAGCATCGCGGGAGATGATGCCAGAAGAAGCCGTTTGGATAGCGGCCGCAGCTTTATCAGTCTTCTTGTCCTCGGTGCCGGTCTCATCCTTCTTCTCCTCCTCCTCCCCTTCGCCCTCTGTTCTGTGGGTTTTTCGTTCCCGGTTACGGGCGTGTTCCCTCTCCTTGTCGAGGCGTTCCAGACCCTTGCCTCCGAAGCCTGACTGGTCTTTGGCCTTGCCAGCCTTGACTTTGTCCCTATGGGCCTTTCGCATTTCTTCGAGCTGTTCTGGAACGGCCTGTCCACTCTGCTCTAGTGCCTTCATGATTCCTGGAGCGCAGTTCTCTTGGTCTTCCGTGATGAATGTAACAGCCGTGCCTTTGTTCCCAGCACGTCCCGTACGACCAGCACGGTGCACGTAGTCTTCAAGATGATTCGGTGCGTCGTAGTTGATAACCAGCTTTAGCTGCTTGACGTCCAGCCCACGAGCCGCAACGGATGTGGCAATGAGGATAGGGATGACTCCATTCTTAAAATCTTGGATGGTCGAATCGCGGTCAATCTGGTCTTTGCCACCATGGATGGACATGCAGGGGTAGCCTTTCTTCATGAGTTCTTTCAGAAGGTCATCGGCCTTCTCTTGACGTTCCACGAAGACCAGCGTACGGGCATCCTCGTCCTTGTCATAGAGCTCGCCTAGAAGCTCCAGCAAGCGTACGAACTTGGTGTTCTCCTCACGAACCTCCACGACCTGCGTGATCTCGGGAGCAACCACGCTCTTGCCTCCTACAGTGATTTCCACGGGGCTGTTCAAAACCTTCTTGGCTAAAGAGTCCATAATCCGGGGCATTGTGGCGGAGAAGAGGATGGTCTGACGATCCGGTCGCATGTTGGCGAAGATTTTCATGACCTGGGGCTCAAAGCCCATGTCAAACATCCTGTCGGCCTCGTCAAGAACAACGTACGATACCCGCTTCAGGTTCGTAACCCGCCCTTGGTTAGCAGCCAACAGATCGATCATACGACCCGGTGTGCAAACCACGATTTCCGCACCTCTCTTCAGCTCCGCGATGTGATCCTTGATGGGAGCGCCGCCGTATGCACAAACAGCTCGGAGATCCATCGATTTCAGGAACGGCTTGCAATCACGATGAATTTGAGTTGCCAGCTCACGAGTCGGGGTCATTATCAACCCAATAGGACCATCATTTTCTTTGAGCGGTGCCTGGTCCTTTATATGCCTGAACATGGGCAGTAGAAACGCAAGCGTCTTCCCAGAGCCAGTCTTGGCCACACCGACGACATCCCGACCAGACATGATTGCCGGGAACGCTTGCATTTGGATAGGCGTAGGCTTGTCGAAACCCAAGCTCCCGATTATATCGAGCGTCCTTCGTGACAGAGCACATTGTGACCACCTTTGAACTGGCTTCGGTACGTCCTTGCCGGTAACCTTGATTCCATCCAGTTCGATGCGCAAATCTGCCAGTTCAGCTTCTGTCATCTCAGATAACTCGGCTGGCTCGACCCAGAACTTCTTTCGGATTGGTTGAAGGCCGAGCTTGCTATAATCGTGGACCGGGATGTCCTTCTTTCTGCGCGCCTTTGCCGCAAGGGCCATGTACGCTTCAGGTTCGGCAGTTCCTTTGTTGCGATAATCGTATTCGTCGTCGCTGAAGTACGCTTCGGGCTCTTGTGTGGCTTTGCTGTCGCTACTTACCTTGGGAGCGGCCTTGGCCTTCGGTTTAGTGTCCAAATCGTTCATGAAAGCATCCAGGGGGTCAACATCCTCGCCCTGACCCTCGTCCTCGTCGACCTCCATAGCATCTCCCGTGGGAGCGACGTTGGCCGATTCGTTGCTTTGCTCTTCTCGTCGCTCTCTTTCCTCTCGAGCGGCAGCAGCCTCCTCTTCCTCTGTGCCGGCAAGCTTATCCAGTTGCTCATCCTGCTCGTCCTCCTGGATCTCGGAGGGTGTAGCATCTTGAGGGAAGGGCACAGAGGACAACTTCGGTGGTTTTCTCTCTGATTTCTCCTCTTCCGCGAACGCTAGCTTTCGCTTCTGTAGGACCTGCTTCGGTTTTGGGAGAGCGAAGGTCTTCGAGGCCGGAGCCCATTGCTTCGTGATGGGCTTCGGTTGAAACTTGGCGGCAGTTCGGGGTGGCTGTGACGGCTGCGACGGTTGCGACGATCGCGACGGTTGCGACGATCGCGACGATTGCGACGATCGCGACGATCGCGATGATTGCGAAGGTTGTGGTGCTTGTGCTGGTTGTGATCGTCCAGAAGTCTGTGCTGGTTGTGATCGTCCGGAAGTCTGTGCCTGCTCTTCTTGCTGCTTTTTCTTCTTATATGCCTCTACTCTGGCGCGGCGGGCGGCTTGCTTCGCTGAATCCATGTTCGCGTGGTGGGTGCGTAGACGACGATGGAGGAGGTTAGAGAGTGAATGCTTGGAAAGCATGTGACACAAATGTTTGCATTTGGCATAAGCAGTGGAATAAACCGGGACTCCACAGCGTGCGGCTCTTTGACTGTGGCTCGTGGTGTGGCTTGAGGGGGTGTTTCACTAATTTCCATCAGGGTGGGGGCATGGGGCTGGAACCATGCGTTCGCTGCAAGGCACCGGTACCAAGGCCAAGGTACCTGAGCTCTTGCCTGTTGTGAGCTCAAGCTTGTCGTGTGTGTGAAATAAACATGGGGCTGGCCAAACCAACAAGCTTCCGATTCCTTCACTTGTCTCAGTCGCAACCCTCATTGGAGAGCTACCACTGACGACTGACTGAGTTCTCGCACCGGATCACCAACACGCACAGTCTACAGCGTCCTCGAGCAAGAATCCCCCGCCATGCTGTCCTCCATTGGGCGCGCTGCAACCAAACAGCTGCGCTCGGCCGCCGTGGTTACGTCGCCCAGCTCCATTGTGGTCACCCGAGGAGCCGGCAGCTCGAGCTTCAGCTACATCGTCATCTCTCGAAGCTATGCTACTGCAGGCCGTCCCAAAGGATCCACCAAGTCCACCAAATCTACCACTGTCGAAAAGACAAAGAAGGCGACCGAGAAGGCACCCGAGACCAAGAAGCAACAACGTGCGCGAGAGAACAGAGAGGCGAGAGAGGCCGCGACAAAAGAGAAAGAAGAACGAAGGCAATTCTTAGCTGAGAAAAAGAAGGTTGTCACGGAACGTAGGGAGCTCAGGGAAACCGCCTTGTATGACACCGAACCGAAATCTCTACCGGCGGACAAATGGCCCATCTACTTGGCGCAAACCTCGGAAGGACAACCCAGAGGCTCTGGGCCTCTTGGTAGCAGAATGGCGGCGATTGCCGAGGAATACAAAAAAATATCGCCCCCGGAGAGGCAGGTCTGTCTTCCTCCGGGTTTGGGTTTCCCTGCACCCCTGGCCCCGTGCTGACATTTCGTAGCGCCTCGAGGTCCTTGCCCACGATAACAAGCTCCTCAACGCTGCAGCTTACAAGGCATGGGTGGAGAGCCATACTCCCCAGCAGATTGTCGCCGCCAACAAGGCTCGCAAGTTGCTGAAGACGAAGTACAACATCCCAAAGGCCAAGCTGAACGCGAGGACCATCAAAGACGAGCGTCAACCCAAGCGACCATCAACCCCGTTTAGTCTGTTCACGAAGGCCAGATGGGCTACTGGCGACTACGCAAACCACAGCATAGTCGAGGCCACCATCAATATCAGCAAGGAGTGGCGAGCCCTCCAGGACTCAGAGCGTCAGGTATGTTCATATTCTGCCAATGCCCCGGGTCTCCTAAGCTAACGACAATATAGCCGTACCTGGATATTGCCAAGGCAGAGGTTGACAGATACCATAAGGACCATGACGCTGTTCTGGGTCGCGAAGTGTCTCCCGTTCACTAACATTTCATGTTATTACATTTTCCCGTTCTGTCGACTGGAGGCCTGCGAACGTTTGGTTCGTGCTTCATATCTGCTGGGATGGCCGGAATAGATATTTCTGGCGACGGATATGTATATCCTCTCGTGTACTATTCAGATTACTTGTAAAGCCTAGCAGGAGTTGACTGTTGTGTAAATAAGATGATTCATCTTTCGATTTGTGTAAAGCGTCTGCGTTTTGCTTGTTGTTTGCCCGCCATGCTTGAAGTTGCTACTCACAGTCACGTTGAGCCCTCAAATAAGATGAGTAGGATGAGGGAGATGAAGTAGCAAGGTCCAAGTAACATGGTTGTCATCAAGTCCGCAGTCTCATTAAAGATGTCAATATGCCTTGCCCTCTAACCCACCGCCCAGAAACTCTTATGCTAGAATCCGAGCGCCGTCCTTATGCAAGAGGTCCATTTTCCAACCGCACATCCATAAGCCCCACGTCTCACTGCTTATCCCTCGCGCCCATCGTAATAACCTCGATTCTATCTCCGTCTACCCAAGTGCTGCCGGTGTAAAGAATGGTTCGCTGGGAAGCCAAGTACAACAGCAAGTAGATGTGTGCAGCAACGCCACCAAAGCAATATGTTCGCAGCCACTGGAACTCGGGGTCCCTCTTGCACCAGATGCCCCAGCCCGCGACCCCCGTCCCGATGTAGTTGGCCAGGTAGGCCCAGGCATCGCGCCTGAGCTGCGGCTCCCACGACGAGCAGTCCAGCAGCCAGTGGCCGCGCTCGAAGGGCCGGAGGTCCCTCTTCTGCTCCTTCGGCCGGAAGCGTTTCGGGATCTCGAGGGCCCGGGCCAGCTTCTGAAGACTGGGCGTGACCAGGTCGGGCGGTTCCAGGTGCAGGACCGACGTTGGGGGCTTCGGGGCGCGGAGTTCCAGACTCTCGTATGTGAAGCCGTGGACGTCGAGGAAGGCCACGGTGATGAGTGACTTCTGTTCGGATGTTGTTCTTGGTCCGATGTCGCTCGATGCCCGCATCAGCGCCCTTGGACTCGTGCTGGGCAAGTCGGGCTGGTGTCGTTTCGGCGGCGGTTCCGAGTCGGCTCTAGTGTCTGCGGATGCTTGCGAAGACGACATGATGGTGGTTTCCTCGATGATGTTATCAGAGGTCACCTCATCAGATGTTGGTCCCTGTCGCTGTATTTGTACGCTTCTGTCGCGGTGCCCCGATGAGTCTCTTCCAAGAAAACTTGATGAGTCAGAAGGAGGGTTGTGCCTTGGGCTGCAAGGAATCACAGATGGTGTACATGGGACCACTGAAGTAAAGAGTCTTCTGGGCAAACTGGGCTGGCTCGCACTCAGGGAAGAACTCTTATGGGTTGCGCCCCTTCCACTATGCTGCGTGTTGGTCTTCGCAGACCCTGAGGGAGACGTGTTGGTCTTTGAAGACCCTGAGGGAGATTCGAACTGATGCAGGTAGTGCTCTAGAACTCGGGTCGGAGAAGATAGACTAGTAATGTGCATGTGATTCATGGGATATGAGTCCTCCACTACACTGGGTGGTGTTTGCCATGATGACTGTGTTGCTGGTATCGTAGTATCTCCAGGACCGACAGGGCTTGAAAGCAGCACCTGTCTTGCTCGAAGCCGTGGTGAGCCCGCATTGTCGATGACGCTTCGGAACGAGGCCTGCGGTGACTTCAAGGAACCGAGTCTTCCACTTGACGGCACGTCCGTGGAGACATCGTCCTGATCCAGCCCCGGCTGCGACCCTTGAGGAGCTGGAGTATGCTGGTCTTCCTCGATGCCGATGCTGGAACGCAGCTGGGGTGGTAGATGAGCATGTTCGACTGGCTCAAACTCTTGGTAGGCAGCAGCTAGAGCCCGGTACCTCGCGTCATCAGCTGCCCTACTTGGAGCGCCAATGTGAATCAAGATTTCCACCTCTGTCTGCCTTTCCATCTATGCCGGTCATATCGGTCTGGTAATTGGAGAGGATGCTCAAGGGGAGATCGCAGGCCGTGCTGGTGTAAGTGAAGGGTGAGGTTCGGAATATGGCGACAGAAAGTGCGATGGTGTTTCTAGCAAGCGGGTTGAAAAGCAAATCGCATTTTTCATATTTTTTCATATAAGTTCTGCTACATTAAACTTTACATATAAACAAGCAATCAGGGTTGTATGTGAGTTGTACGTACCTAGCCGGCAGATATCAGGCCTGACCTGTTGACGTTGAAGGATGGTGAAAGCAATAACAAGACTGTCAATCCTCAATGTGGGGTATAAAACAACAAGCCACATCCGATTTGAAGTACAGCCACCAGACTCTCATGCTCAGTTAGGAGGTTGGCTGATGAATGAGGTAACCGGTGAATGGAAGTTCAGAGAGACATGGCAGCATCACAGGACATGATGCACTATATATGGGGTGATATCTTTGTCTCTTGGCAATGAATTGTGGCTACGGGTACGATGTCTTATTTTACCTCTGTCATGGTCAAACAAGAGAGTCTATTCTGACTGGTATGGGTTTAATGTTCTCAGCAGGCAGTGCTGGTATGTAGTATAAAGCAAGTTTACATCTCGCCGATGACCTTGCTCCTGCATATTGAGGCAAGCGGAAGCATCAACCTGTTCACTCATGATTCACAAAGGCATATGCACACACTTCCACAATCGTTGGAATGAAACACGTGCAAGCGCGCGTCAGTTTGAAGCCGGGAAGTAAGACGCGAATAGAATGTTCAATGTTCTGTGTTTGGGGCGGCACCCCTCTGAATTTACAGCGGACTTGACCGCTAACATAGACCGCCGCCAGCTGTAATCACATCACGTGAGGCAGACCGTGCACACACCGTGCTGGGATGGGCGCCGCAGCATGGGCTGTGACTTCAAGTGAGGTGCCAAGGAGCAAAGAAGGGGTCAATCCGGCACGTCAGGTCAATAATTCCAGGTCAATAATTCAACTGCACTCTTGAGATCCTCAAAGCCCGAGGCGGAATCCCTACGTACCCATGTACCTGCCGCAATAACTCTGGCAGTCAGTCTTGAGTCTTCGGCCCGTCGCCCGGCGTCCTTCAATGTTCGATGCTTCCAGTTGTTGATTTTTGAACTCGACCGTCTGCAAGTTGGTTTATTGATGAATTGACTGCACCTGCACCTGCACCTGCACCGCGCGAGGTTCGAGGGAATCCGCCCATTCCACCGTCCACTGCCGTAATCTTCCTCGGACTCGGGCAGCACTCGATACCTGACCGCCCACTGGTCCCCCTTTGTCTTCCGTCCATTTACCCCCCCTCCCCCGTGCTGTGGCAGCTTGCAGTTTCTAGCTACGGCGCCTACTTGGGGTTGCATCTTGCCGGCAACGAGCATCCTCCCCCTCTACCACAGCGAACCCACGAAACCCAGTACCTCAGGTATACAGGGTTACGTACATTGCTGTGCGATACTATCCCCAAATCCATCACGTACGACTTCGACCACGATCACCATCACGTCGTCCACCACATCTACACCTGCGACTTCGCTTCGACCAACCGCGACTTCGACTTCGACTACGGCCGCGTACGCTCATTCATTCAACGAACAACGCTCCAGCCCATGTCCCGCCGTCACTCCCTCAACCCATTGACTACAGCCCAGCTGAGTTCCTGGCCAGCACTGCCGGTCCCTTTCTTCGACCAACCAACTCTCCTCCCTCAGCGCAGAACTCCAATTTCGTCCCGCTCGCATCGCCAGGGTCCATAAGCCAATCCTCTGCTCTGCATAAACCTGCTGCAGAGTCCTTTCAGCCTCCCGACCACGATCACGTCTGCAAGGCCTGTTTTCGCCTTCGAACAATAGACATAGCGACCGACTGCCTGCCTAATTCCTCGTCCTGCCCAGCCCTGCCTTTTGGACCTGGCATCCGCACCTTGTCGCACATACCATCGTGAGCGAGAAAGCGAAGGGAGTAAAGTTGGCGCCCCAATGCCAATGTCTGCGGTCGGACAACATAACCACCACCCTACGATAATCACACCGTTGCGTCCTTTGATCAGTCCAGCTGCCAGCTTCACAACGGGCGATACTCACTCCCCACTCACGGGACTGGAATAGGCTGTCATTTTGGTCGCCATGATGGGCTCTGACTATGGAGGCGGTCTGACTGCTGGTGACCGAGTCCACGGGCATCCCCCGCCGGCCAGCGATGGCGGCTACCAGCTTGACGGCGAGCGACGAAACATGACTCCAAGCCCGATGCAACCGAACGGACAATACACGCCATACCGACCCCCAGGATCGCCTGCCCCCAGCGCGGTGCCAAGTGCCCACAGCGACCCAAGACGGAGCAGTGAGCGGAACAGGTCCAGGGGACGAAGTGGCAGAACACCCAGCGGGACGCTTCGCACATGTGCAAAGTGTGGTGAGCCTCTGACGGGACAATTTGTGCGGGCCTTGGAGGGAACCTTCCACTTGGATTGTTTCAAGTGCCGGGTGAGTGACCCTGTGTCCGACATACCGACTGTGTTCGAAGCTGACCTGTGGTTGGGAACCAGGACTGTGGCCAGATCGTGGCATCCAAGTTTTTCCCAGCAGATGACGAAGAGAATGGCGGCCAGTACCCATTATGCGAGACGGATTACTTTCGACGACTGGGTCTATTATGCTACCAATGCGGTGGTGCTCTTCGTGGATCCTACATCACCGCCCTCGATCGGAAGTACCACGTCGACCACTTTACATGTTCCCTTTGCTCAACTGTCTTTGGGGCCCAGGATAGCTACTACGAGCACGATGGGCATGTCTATTGCCACTACCACTACTCGACCCAGTTTGCTCAGCGATGCAATGGCTGTAAGACTGCTATTCTGAAGCAGTTTGTCGAGATCTTCCGCAATGGTCAAAATCAGCATTGGCACCCCGAGTGCTATATGATTCATAAGTTTTGGAATGTTAGGCTCACTTCACCACAAGAATCAGATGAGCCTCGCCCAGAGCCAGCAGACGCTGAAAGTCGGGATCTCATACGACTGGAAGAGGAAGCTATGGAAGAAAAGGTCTACCGCATCTGGAGTGTCCTATCGACATTTGAAGAGTCATCTGCTGCTTGCATCTCCGACATGCTACTTCATGTCAGTAACGGTGCTTATATCGACGGGGTTTTCGTGGCGAAGAAGTTCATCCTTCACGTGGAGATTCTGTTCAAATCTGCCGACAGACTTGATGGGACCATGAAGAAGTCTGATATGAAGGGTACGAAGTGCCCATTCCGAAATATTTCCTCGCCCTGCTAACATTTATACATAGGGTTGTCATATGGACGAGAGGCAAAACTACTATGCAAGAAGATCGTCTCCTTCTTCTCCTTACTTTCAAAAACCCAAGACACGGGTGTGCGGAAAGTGGGAGTCACCCAAGAACTGTTGTCTCTTGTCACGGGACTTGCACACTACCTGAAGCTGCTCATCAGGATATGCCTCCAGGGAACACTCAAAATCGAGAAAGAAAACAAAAGCTCGGATGCATTGTATCAGTTCCTTGACGACCTCAGCATACTCGACTCCATGAAGAACGATGACGACTCCTCACAGATCACCCTAGGCATGTCGAGGCTGTCAGCCAACGATTCAGACCAATGTACGCTGTGCCGGAAGCCCATCGAGAACGAATGCGCCGTGAGTGGTGACAGCAGATGGCATCTATCTTGCGTGAATTGCTCGCGGTGTGGAAATGAGCTCGGGAAGGCTTTGTTGGATGAAGCCGGGGTGCACCGAGATCAAAAGATCTACTGCATACAATGCGAAACACAGATTGGAGAGCAAGGGCAGCCCCTCGAGCAGATATCAAAGCTCCAACAGTATATTTTCCTCCTGAAGGTAGCCTTGGCGCGCCTATTGGAGATCCTCCGAAGCAGTGGCGCACTTCCAGAGTCTGCAGACGATCCTAATGCCGAGTCATACACCTCCGCGGATGGCCGCAGACTTTCCATGGACACCACTCCAGCAATGCTCAGCTCGGATTCTCGGTCTAGGTCAGACACTGGCGAGCTAGAGCGTCACCAGAGAGAGTCGTCCTATGAGAGCACTCTCAATGATGTGCGCAGGTTAAGAAGCACGCGTCTAGACAAGCACTTATCATCTAGCCTTAGGAAGGCTCGGACATCGAGAATCATGGACGGGCCCGAGGGTCGCCCTGGGTCTGCTGGTGCGGGTGGAGGCCCACGGAACAGGGCCCTACAGATCGACGAGGAAGGAGAGGCCGGATCGGGCACGACGGAGCAATACTTTGGACATCAGGATGCCCTGACTCTTGACGACATTCCCCGGATTGTTGCGGCCGAGCAAGCTCGAGAACAGCAGCCCACTAAGAGTGCGCGCCAAGAGTTGTTTCGGTCGGCCGCCACGGAGCCTTCTTTTGGCGCAGGTCATCAGAGGAATATGTCTGGAGGACGAGATGCCGACCTCAGGCCTCTGGGCGAACAGAAGGGTGGCCGGAAATTCTTCTCCGAGCTGTCTGGTCTGGAATATTTCATCGTTCGTCATGTCGCAGTATCCGCCATGCAACCGATGCTCGACCCTGAATTTACACTCGAGGAACTGCTCGGTCTTATCGAAGCACGAAAGGCCACGTTTTGGAACAAGTTTGGCAAGGCGTTCGGCAAGAACGACACTCGCAAAGTCGGCAAAAAGAAGGGCGTCTTCGGTGTTCCATTGGAGATCATCGTTGAACGAGATGGTGCCGACTCTACTGACGGTGTCGGGCCCGGTGCTCTCCGCATACCTGCAATTGTGGAGGACACGATCATAGCCCTCAAGAACAAGGATCTCTCGGTCGAGGGTGTCTTCCGGAAGAATGGCAACATCAAGAAACTTACGGAGCAGGTTGCAGCAGTGGATAGAGATGGCTGCGATGCCATCAGGTGGAACGACGAAACACCTCACCAACTCGCAGCACTTCTCAAGCGGTATCTACGCGAACTGCCGGATCCGCTTATGACACACAAGCTCTATAGCCTGTGGGTAGCAGCCACGAAGATGAAAGACCCCGATAAGAGGCGGCAGTGTCTGCATCTGACCTGTTGTCTGCTCCCGCAAACCCACCGGGATACCTTGGAAGTCTTGTTCAGTTTCCTCAAGTGGGTGGCTACTTTCCACCAAGTTGACGAGGACACGGGCTCCCGAATGGATGTCCACAATCTAGCCCGTGTCATAGCGCCCAACATACTATTTCCCAACACCAAGGCTCCGAGCTTTTCGGACGAGCCAATGATAGCAGTGGCCTGCGTGGAAGAGCTGATACAATACAATGAGGACATGTGCATGGTTAGTGGATTGATCCTTTCGACGCGATATTTTTACTAACAATCGTTCTCAGGTTCCAGCTGAGCTCATGGACTTCCTCAGTGATTCGACCTTGTTCGCCCACAACGGTGAGATCACTACAAAGGAGATCCTCAAGCGTATTGAAGGTCGCTCTGCCAATGGTGGCGCGAGGCAGTACGACAACACCGAATTTGTTGGCCGGCAAGATAACAAAAGACCCATGGCCACCCGAGTCGATACAGATCCCGCACTGTGGCAGCAGGCCAGCAGCGTACGTCCCGTAATGCCGGAGCCAACAGTTCCATTCACCACGGCCCAAGGGACGCCGCCGCAGAAATGGCGGAAGCCCGGCAACGGCCAACCGCCTTATACGAACCAGCCCGAACGCAATGACAACCAACCGGCGCCCCCTGAGAATGGCCAACGTAGGGAGTGGCGCAACTCGGGGCTGGGTCCTAGGCCGAGCAATTCTGTGACGACTGGCACGGAAGGGTGACGACTGGTTTCCTGGTATATATCGTCCATCATCCCGCTTTTGCACCTCTATGGCAGTCTAGAGTGGGAAGCGGACACGCATTGCTCGAGGCGAGCTTTGAAATTCTTGACGAAATCGCATGAAAGGGGTGTAGAGAGACAAAACAGCATTTCGGGCCGGCGTTGCGATTCCTTGATTTGGGCATGACGACTTTCGATTCGCTTTTTCTTGACTGCGGAGATTCCCCCAATGACGAGACGGGCTTCTGGTGGTGTTTCATGTTCTCTTCGAGCAGGCAGGCATCTTTGCTTCTTGAAGCGGCCAACGCTTCTACGGGTTGGCGGCATGGTTTGGAGTAGTGTGGATACGCCCGTTGTCTTCGTTTTGGCAAGATCCAATTGATGTACGAATTTCATTCACCTTGTCTCAAGATCGAAAGACTCCGAGTTGAGGCATCGGTCCCAGGGGTTCGAATCGGGGGCGAGAGACCAAGGGGTTTCATATGGGCACATGGTTGGCCGGATGATACAACTCCCTGATGATGATGGTGCTTCTTCCTTGTGGTGGCGCAGCATCTCCTGGCGGTAGATGGTGGTTGACTGAATAGTATGATGATGAACTCCTGTTCCAGCCCGGATTGAGTCTAGCTAGCTAGGTAGATCCCTACTCGGACCAGACAGAGCACAACTTCGCTGGCTGGTCCTGTACCTATCTATCAGGAATCCAAACCGAGCTTGAAAAAAGAAACCCGAGGACTTCCTTGGGAAAGCATGATGGCCGCTGACGTGAACCAACACCGTGAACCTATAGCACTCATGACAGAGTAAAGTACGTTGAAGCATCGAAGAAGGTATTTACGATTATTATTACAAGTAGGTGCCTGGATAGGGAGACCGAATACCAAATGTAAGTACGGCGAGGCCTAGGTAATGTACAAACCGCCATCGTGGTCGGTCGGTTGATTTGAGCAGGCAAGATTCACCGATTCCCAACCTCATCAGCATCAGCCTCAGCATCAGCAACGCCGCCACCACCGTCCTCATGACTTCGCGGCCGTGGCCTTCTCCTGCTCGAGCGTCCACCGCACGGTGCGCTTGACGCCGTCGCTCAGGGAGACGAGGGGCGCGTAGCCGAGGCGGCGCTTGGCCTTGGCGATGTCGTAGTAGCGGGTCATGGAGGAGTAGACGATGCGCTGGCGGTTGAAGGTGGGCGGCTTTCGGAGTATACCAAAAGCGACCTCGCTGAGGAAGCCGAGCACGAGGCCGAGGTCGCGGCTCAGGATCCAGACGTGGTCGGTGCCGCGGGGCGACCCTGCCGCGCGCCAGATGGCGCGCATCATGTCCCAGAAGTAGACGGGGCTGCCGTTGGTCACTATGAAGGCCTCGCCGTCGACGCGCTCGTAGTCTAGGGGCTTGGTCTCGTTGGCTTGTGATTTGGCGTGTGTTACGAGCAGGGCGCGCGCGGCTAGCAGGTGCGCGTGCGCTACGTTCTCGACGTAGGTGAAGTCGAAGAGGTTCGTGTTGGTGCCGACTTGTATTTTGTCCTTGCCCTCGCGGTACACGTTCACTGCGTGGTGGACTAGCTGGATGTCGCCCTCGCCGAAGATGCCCGAGGGCCGGATCGCGGTCGTGAGGAGGGAGGGCGAGGGCTCGGCGCGGTTTGCTGCGAGGACGAGCTGTTCGGCTTCGGCCTGGGTTAAGTATCGGTTAGCAAGATTCGTGACGGAGTGGCATGTTTCTTGGGTAGGTATGTTGGCAGGTAGGTATATATGTATGTGTGTTTCGAGAGGGGACGGTACGGTACCTTGGTTTCTGAGTAGTACTCGGTCTGCGCCTTGCCGCGAATGACGGGGTAGTCCTCGTTCGCGTTGACGAGGTCGGACGCATTGTCGCCCATGACGCTGGCGGAGCTCGTATATACCAGAGCCTTGACGCCGGTGCGCTGGCAGGCGGCGATGACGGCGCGCGTGCCCTCGACGTTGACGCGGCGGAACAGCTCGTGCGTGATTCCCGCGGCGCCCTGGGCAGGCGGCGAGGCGGTGTGGATGACGACGTCGGGCGCGAGGCGGGCGAAGACCTTGAGCAGGTTGTCGGCGTCGGTGATGTCGGCCTCGACGTACTCGACGCCGTCCGAGGCCGGGCGGCGGTTGCGCTCGCACCGCAGGTCCATTACCGACACGAAGCTGCAGCTCCAGTCCCGCAGCAGCAGGCGCACGACGTGGTGGCCCAGGAAGCCGCACCCGCCGATGACGAGCACGCGGCCCAGCTGCGGCTGCTCGACGCCTGTCTTGGGTCCTGGTGTCATCGTTGCGGTTATTGATGAAAGGTGGTTGTCGGAGTACTGGTAGGGAGCACTTCTCAAGCTTGCTTGTCTTAAGATCTAATCAATTTCACCGCCTGGCAGTTCTGGAACTTCTGGGCGCGTGGGTAGATCAATTGAGTTTCTACCCCTGAATTATCGAACGGCCCAGGCTGCCCAGCCGCCAAGGTTCTCGTTCATGATCCAGGCTAATAATTGAAAGTTTAGTAATACAAATGTTACGGTCTTCGGTGGATCTTCGCCAGCTCGCTCATCAGGCGCACTTCGATCATTGATGTTGATGAGAGAGGAAGTTCCACGCTGCCACGGTCAACCAGCTTGATAACATCATAATCATCCCATTGACGAACCAGTCAGATGTCTCACTCGTAGAGCTCGCCTCATGTGTATGATAAGTCCAATGTACCGGTTCCTTGGTTATCCAGAGCATCGGAGCTTGGTCTTCAAGACCCAAGACCCCGACTTCCGCTTTCAAACTTCAGCTTCAAGCCCTAAGTTATCACGGACGACATGTCTTGTTACCATATACTCTAAACATATCTTAACTCCTTCGGGCTATCCTGACTGACGCCACTTCTGTCAACATTCCGCACAACCTCGGGCGTTGGATGTTTAACTGGTAGAGCAGAGGCAAACATCCTGGCACCCGCCCGCCTTCAGGCTCGCGATATCAGCGACAACAAACGCAGCCACAAAAAGTATCCAAGCATTGAGCAAAAATTATGCTGACAAGAGTGGGATTCGAACCCACGCGGATTGCTCCACCAGGATATCGAGTTAAGGTAACCTTAACCTGGCGCCATAGACCAACTCGGCCATCTTGCCTCACAATGATCTATCTCTTGAGAGTTGAGTGGAGGTGGATGGTGAGGAAAAATTTATCGTCATTTTTGAAGCAAATTTTCTAGCTTCGTGGTCCGAGAGAGAACGGAGACGGTGGAGTTGGTGGGTGCCATGAGACTCCATCGCCAGACTTTCGCGGCTTCGTGTTGCAGACAGCGAACTACCAGCTGAAAACCTACATGTAGCTTGCTGCCGTCTGTGCTGGCCGATGCCTGCATCTACTTGCCCCTGTTTCGAGACAGAGTCCGCAGTACTTGACCGCTTGCACCACCTGATCCCACCGTCATGTCTTCGGAAGGGCTGGGGGGTGGTGATGTTTTTATTAGTGAGCTGGCGGGTGCCGTTGACGTGCCGTCGACGCATTGTCGAAAAACTGACTCGGGTGTGTTTTGGTATATTGCCCATGCCCTTGCCGTGTGCTCAAGATGTATGTTGCACCTCAAGCCTGTGCCGATCTTCCTCGTTCCACACGCACGGGGACCCGACTGAGTGGTGTTGGGAAGAGGGTCGATCCATGTCGTCCTGTCCGTTCGGACTCAAACCTCAAGACCGTGAATTCAACACCACCGAGAAGGAGAAAAAAACTACCTCATCGTCTGGGAGAGCAGTATGTCTCACGCCTGACTGCTGATCTGATGCTAAGGGTTCATCCTAATACCGGTAGTGACCCAGATCAGCACTGGAGGTTGCCTGTTATTTCTTCCAGTGCTTCTCGATATTTGCCAGAGTTTCTTTGAAGAAGTACCTAAACGAAACTGGACTGTGTTACTCTCTTACTCTTCCACAACTGATTCCTTCCATGACTGTTGTCTGATCTAACTAGGTAGGTAGGTATGAAGTCTTCCAGATGAACCACGGCCAACGAGCGTTACTAGGCCGTACGGGGTGCAAGCTACCCAGATTTCATTCAGCGTGGTGAGACTTTCAGATAGAGGGTGAGTCTAAAATGTTTCGTGCCTCACCTCCAGATTCGCGAGCGGGGAGCTACTGCAAGCTGTAGCACCTTGAGGGAGAGTGCCCACCCGCTAAATAAATAAACATGCATCTACCTCAATACACGTACACCGGAAGAGGAATATGAAGTCACTTCGTATCGCCCATAAACAGACGGGAACCCCACATGCACCGGCAACTCCCCCCAATTTCACAGTGACGCGCATCTCCATGCATCGAACCTCCAAGTCACACTGACTCCCATTTCTTAGAGCATATCCGCCAGCCAACCCTCCCGCCACAACCACCTCACAGTCATTGCCACGCTTCTGCTGAAGCTGCGCGCTTCGTCAATTGCACAGGAACCGCAGCCATGGCGGACCAGTCCATCATCCGCATCACCAAGGTATGTCACCCCTCTCGAGCTGCTTTGGCGGGGTAGCAAGGCTGTCTGGCTGTCTGGCTGTCTGGTACTGATGCGTCGTGTCTCGTTTCCAACAGGAAATCAGCGAGCTCCAGAAGAGCAACGATCTCTGTACGCGAACGAACTCATATCCATCGACCATATTCTAAACTCTGTCTGTTCGGCTTGTAATGCTGACTACGCCCGTTACCTCGCCCAGCTCTCGCCGTTGCCTTCCGCGATCGTGATGTTCGGAGTGTCAAGGCTATGATCATCGGCCCGCACGAGACTCCCTACGAGTTTGGCTTCTTCGAGGTTGGTGAACCCATCACCCGCCGTACGCATTGAGCGTATCAATACTAACAGTCCACAAGTTCTCCGTCAAGTTCAACAAAGGTTGGTCCTGGCCTAGCACTACTGTCCTTAGTTCTACAGCCTCGCTAATTCACATCGGTCCGCCTCAAGAGTACCCGCGTAAGTCGCCTTCGGTAACCTGCATCACAACCAACAGCGGACGATGTCGCTTCAACCCAAATATCTATTCGACGGGTAAAGTCTGCCTGTAAGCGATAACATGGATTCCTTTCGGCACTACTCTTTGCTGACCACCTGCCCTACAGATCCATCTTAGGGTATACCACATTCTGCCACCTTTCCCGCTGATTCTTGGACCTAACCGCTCCTAGAACATGGCGAGGCGAGCGAGGTGAGGAGTGGTCCGCCGCCCAGGGCTTAGAATCCATCCTCCTCTCTATACAAAGCCTCATGTCATCCAACCCCTACGAGAACGAACCCGGCTTCGAGGATGCGAACGAGGCACCAGACAAGAAGGCTCAAAAGGACTACGTCGCCAAGGCAAGCCGTGTGCCCCCTTGATAGGTCATGGAAGGGCAATGGCTGACCGAGACGACTGCAGATACGGCACGAGACCTTACGCATTGCCGTCATTCAGAAGCTAGAGGAAGTGCTTGGGCTGCCTGGCGGCGGTGTTGCCCCTCTTGCGCCCACGGAGAGGGAAACATACGATCTAGACACCGATGAGGATATGGACGTTGACGACTCGAGCGTACCTTGGGAACCATTCAAGGACCTATACAAACGCCGTTTCTTATGGTACTACGACTCATACCTCGATGCCATCAAGAAAGCAAAGGAAGAAGTCAAGGATGGCCAGGCATTCGTCCGTATGCCGTTTGAAGCTAGTAGCAACACTATGGACGGCGTCTTCAACTACACTGAGCTTGAACGTCGTCTGCGCACCATCAAGAAAACATTGGATGCGGAACCTACCCGCTGGGCCGTCGAAGGTCTAACTCCTAAGATGAAGGATTCCACCGTATGCGTCAATCTCGCCCGCCAGTTCGATCAGGTGAAGGAATCGTTCAAGCGGAATGATGTACACCATAACATCGAATTGGAGAACGGGAACCCGTTCGTCTGGATCATTACCTACTTTGGTCGGCCAATGACCAATTTCGACGGAGGCATGTTCCGGATCAAGGTCAGCTTCAGCAGTCGATTCCCTGAGGAGCAGCCGAGAATCAAGTTCGAGACGCCGGTTTTTCACCATCGAGTCACAGCTGACGGGATCCCGTGCTACTTTCCGAATCCTAATCGTCGAGACGATGTTAGACAGCATATTGAGGCGATCTTCGACACCATTGAAGAAGAGCAACCTCCGTACGATCCGAGAACACAAGTCCATCCCGAGGCACACAAGCTCTACTGGGGCGGTGCCGACGACCGAAAGGTCTACAATAGACGGCTACGTAGATCGGTGCAGCAGAGCATGGAAGATTTCTAGTTCGGCCAGCTGGGTCACGAATGATGATTTGATGCATGCATTCAGGGTGCCACTGATTTAGCAGCGGTCACTTCCCTCGAGTTTGCGGCGGCGTTTGAGGAAAGGCAAAGGTACTAGGGAAGCTGGATGGGTCAGACCATCTTCTATGTGCGTTTCTCCGGTCATGCAGCGGGGCTGATCAGGGCATAACATATGTTACGCTGGCAGGATTAAGGCTTGGGCTTGTAGACTTTACTGCTGATACCTCTTTGCTTGTAACCATATTGCTTTTCCACACATCCGAGCCTGTTGAAATGGCAAGAAGACCAGTCAGGACTTAGGGTCTCTTCTATTACTAAGGTAGTAATTTGATTCTTTATGAATACATCTTCAAGGTCTGCGATCCCGAGTTCCACTTCGCAAGTTTACTGAGCGGTCCGCCTCAGCAGGTGCGTCAAGAGTTGGAAGACGAATCAAGCCACCAGTTGGATCTCGTATGAGCGGGTAGCCGCACTCGCCCCAAGACAATTTTACAACATCACGAGACAACTGAGACATGATGCCAAGACATGTACATGGGAAGCGAGCCGACAACAGCAATACGGGCTGATATCGAAGCGATTTATTCCTCTTTGAGCGTATTGAAAGTAACGCGGCCTATGGTCTAAACAAAGGCGATAATTCATGTAGTCCGCTCCCGGGACTCCCATACCCACGCCCCTGATGCGCCGCGCGACCCAAAGCAATGCTGCCCAGTCCGTTCGTTCGTTCGTTAATCTATCATGCGTGATTCTCCTCTGTCATCGTGCGTAATTTCGTCTCATGCGCTCGTAAGTCGTCCGCCCCGGCGCCTACCCACCTGCCACCCTGGCCTAGATTCGGACTCGGGATCCAAGTTCAGCGCTTGGGCCCCTTGGGCTTCTTGTCCAGGCGGTCCTTGCCCGGCGCGTAGGGCGCCGCGACGCCGACGTACTTCTCCTGCCTGCCGAGGCCGCCGTCGCCGGCCTTGAACTCGAACTTGCCGTCGGGCGTCATGACGGCAGGCACCCCCTGCGGCGGCCGCGCCAGCTGCTCGTTGTGGATGCGGTCCAGCGACTCGCCCACCACGGCGTACTGCGACCAGTTGATGGGCGGGCAGCGCACCACGTTCTGCGGCTCCGGCAGCGTCGCCCAGGCCGGCCTGGGGGCGGCCGCGTCCTTGCGGTCTGGGTCTGGCTTGATGGTGGGTCCTGGCTGGGCTTCTGACTTCGGTTGGGTGGTTTCGGCGGGCTTATTGCTACCGTCTGCAACTTGAGCCGCGCCCTCGGTGTGGATCAATGGTTGTTGCTGCTTCGCACTCATGCCCTCGTCCGCGGACCCGTCCTCACTGTCACTGTCACTATCGCTATCGCCTTCTTCGACCGGCACACCGTCCGCGAACAGCCGATCCCCCTCAACCCTCACGTGCCCGGCTACGAGGTCCCGCACGAACGCCGCGGGCTCCGCGAGCGCGGCCGTCTTGACCCGGTCCAGAGTCGCCATGTCGCGCTCCGCCCTGCGCCGCTGTATCTGCAGGAGAGAGATGGCCGACCTGAGCGCCAGCACGTCCGGGTTGCTGTCGAAGTCTATGGGATCGGGTCGCGGAGCCGGCGCTGCAGTCGCGTCTGCGTTGGAGCTGTGGGTGTACTCTGGTCGCGGCGGCAGCGCCGTGGGGTTCAGCGGCGGCGTGATCGGGCTGTAGGTCGGCCCTGCCGGCGACGAGGAACGCGAGGGGGGCTGGTGGTTCTGGAGTTGGCTGCTGTGTTGCGCGTACGGGATCGGTATGGGGGTGGTGGCGGCAGCTTGGGTGCTGGCGGCGGAGGGTATGGTTGTATTTGCGTTTGTGGCTGCGCTCGCGGCGGGGGTTTGCGGCGCCCCTGTTTCTGACGCCGCGGCGGCCCCTGTGTTGAGTGTGAGGCCTGGCATCGTCATGTTTGGCACTGACGCCCGGTCTTCCACCTAGGTGGTTTGCGATCGGTGTCGTCGCGAGCAGCCGGTAGGCAGCGACGGCCGTCGAGCGGGGATAACAATAACGATATACTGTGTCCCGTTACGTTGTGTCCCAGCAGGCTGGGGAGCAAGCTCGCATGGGGGTTTGCGCGACCTCTTGGTGTTGTTTGACTTTCAACCTTCCCTTGGGTGTTTGACCCGAACGGATCTCTGACAATGAAGGCCGACGTCAGGCGGCGGGGTCTTCGCCCCTCGGCACCTGCAGACGAGCGGGGACATTCATGGTCTGTGCAGAGTGCTTTCAACCCCTGTAGGAAAAGGTTATTTTTAGACGCTGGGGTCAAGTCTGGTAACGGTAGATCTCCCGGAATGAGATCCACGCGTCCACTCAGGCCGTCTACAACCCTGTCGTCTACCTACACATAACATTGAAGTCCTGAATTGGCAGCCTCGTCTGTACCAGTCAAGAAAGTAACGCGTTCCTCATCACGTTCATTGGCCGTGACCTTGCCACACAATTCAGTGAAGGTTGTCGTCCTCCACAGTACGGAACCGTTCCATTCGGGGCCATGATGTAGGTACGGGGGACCAGAGCTTTGAGACCACGGTCAGTCAATGTTTGTGCCTTCAAGGTAAGAAGCAAACCCAAATTGTCTCCTAGCACCTTGGAGGCTTGGAAGGCACCGTCTTGTCTCTCTGGGCGCCAACGCTATGCTCATTGATAGGACGTTGCGGTACTTACTGACATGAACGGCTGTCAGCCGTAGGGTTTCGGTCTCGAGGCATCAGAGTGTGCTTGGGCGAGACTCGAAAACAAACATTGAAGGTTCAAGCGATCTGGGACGCTACCAAATGCCTACTACCATCGTTCATGGTGGCGCTGCGTGTCTGCATTCGAAAAGATATGGCCGAGCGCCCGAGACATTGTCTAAACTGAATTACAATGCCAATAGCTGCGCTCACTATGTCTCTATAGGAAGGTGACTCAAGGATCAGTCATAAAAGGTAGGCTTCCAAAGCCATCAGGTCTTCGCTTGGAGATGCTTCTTTTTAGCCTTCATTAGCGCAGAGATGCAAGTGAGAGAAACCCGATGCTTCGTTATGGAATGCACCCATTCTCTCGGAGAGGAAGCACTTGCAACATGAAACAGTCAGGAGGTAAGTGAGGTAGGTACGTTTTCACTTTGACTTAGGTACCTAAGGGAATGGCAGGTCCTCCCGAGCATCTGGTGTGCCTGGAAGGCGCCTGCCACACTCTCCGTGATCCGAAACGCTTGTTTTACGATTTGGGCAGTCGAGACCTGGCACATGTTCAATGTTGTTTGTTTCTCGTACTGCTTTAGTTGCCGTACAACTTTCAGTTGTCTCGGGTCTTCCATCTCTTGCATCTCGAGGTGTCTAGCCAGCTTGACCTGGACCTCGACCTGCACATTCCTCATCTTCCCCTGATAGCGACCTTGGCCCACGGGACGTCAGAGCCAGACCAGCTTGCTCACCTCTAACGACGCCGACTGTTTCCCAGCATCTAACTTCGGCTGTGGCGTCCTGAATCCAGCCGATTCTTCACGCCTGTTTGCTGTGTCTCAGGCGTCATATTCATTGACTGCCTGTTCCACATGGTGACCAGGCCTTGGTCTCTCTATTCAGCGAATGGCAGTAGGTCTACCGATGCTGGTCGGCGGCATCACTTACCTGTTCATCTCATCTTGCCTCGTCCCGGCATACCAATCGATATACCAGCGTTGCAGAAGCCTGGTTGACTGCTCCAACCCGAAGCCGGCCTTTGGAACGAGCGCTGCCTGAAGTGTAAGTAACTCTTACTCTTTCGGGTGCTGGATTCCCATCCGTTTCTCACAGTAGTGGTACAAACTTTAGGGGCACGTACAAACAATCGAATTCCTCCGAAACCTGGTATCACTCGACAGACTGTCACTTGACAGACTGTCCTCCTCCGCACAATGGTAGGGTTTGTTGGCCGTTTCAGGAAGCCAAAGTCGCCAATTGTTCTCGGGTCACCACCCAGAGACGATACAGTACCTCTTCGAGCCCCTACACCCCGGGATATTGTACCGGTACCCCCCGTTCTGCGAAACTTCTCCTACCCTACCAGTGTCGGAAGCAATATCCAGCTACCATCCTTCCCGTCTGCACCTAGAGAGGGCCAGTCGACTTGGAATCAGCTAGGCGAGCTTTACAGCTTTTCCCCAGACAGCGCCTCGAGAGCAGGGCAAGCTAGAACTGCTGGCCTTGAGGATCCATTCTTCTTCACGTCTGACCGCGCACCATACACCCCTTTGTCAGACCAGGACGACAAACTTAGTACCAACTCTCAGAATTCTCGGACCCTTGGGCTTGAGTCGCCATCCCAGGAAAAACCAAAGGTTCGGAAAAAGCAACGACGCAGCACTTTGCTTGGGTTATCATCGTCTCAAACTCAGAGTACTTCAGGCCTCTAGAAGAGCACGGAGAATTGTGAGCCGAAAGACAAGGGCCTGAAGCTTCCAAAGGATCACTCGGTTGGGGATCACATCTTCACCCAGAAATCGACTGTCGCCGCTAGATTGAAACGCAATTCGCTGGGTCACCACAAGACAACTTCTTCCTTTGACGCATCCCGGTTCATGATCTTCCCATCCGCCAGCCCGGAGCGTCCTGTATCGAGTTCAGGTGTGCCCGTCGTTGACACCAAGATCAAGCATATTAGCTCCATTTCCAAAACCGAGCAATCGTCTTTGTCGATCCCCCAGAAGAGTGTCAGGGACTTCTCAGCAAATCCAGACGATCAAGCATTCGTCTCTTCAGTCATAGCACATTCACTCCAGATGGGTTCGATTCCGCCAAGAGTGGCCTCACGTGGCCGCCTGGGAACGAATTATGATACGCACGACAATGCTAGCGATCGAAGCCGCAATGGCCCGGCATCAAATTCTGCCAAGCGCAAAGGCAAGGACGGGAAAGGCCGGTGGTTCTCACAGCTCAAAGACTGGGTCTCTGTGTCTGAGCCCTCAACCCAAGCTCTCAAAACTTACAAGAAAGATACGTACAAGAGAGCTGGCATTGCACTCGACGATCCTCGGGCGAGCGCGAAGCTGCACTTGCCAGTTGGCACCTTGCCAGCAGAGGCGATCAAGCCTGCTGGCCGTGGACCGGATCCCGAGGTAATTGCTCTCAAGAGAGCAGAACAACAAAAGAAAACGCGGGAGTCATACACTGGCATAAGTGGAACATCCCAAGGTTCCCAGTCGAGTGGTAGTCATTATTCCTCTTCGAGCAGTGTGGCACTTAGCGGCGAGCGAGAATATGTTTAACGAGCTGATTTGTTGCGACTCGGGCTCTTATACGACGGATGTCACGACGATGCGGGTGGTATGTTGACCATTTGCTTTTTGAGCTAATATACATTATACCCCTTCGAAGGTGGCTTTTTATTGGCTGTATGCTTGGGAACCTAGGAGGCGAGTATGGAGGGAAGTAACACGTGAGGAGATGATTTGACGATTGATACGGAGAGGCCATATCCTGATGCGTCGTATCTTGTCAGAAACCGGTACATGACACTTTGTTTGGCACTTACAGAATTATCGCATGAGCTAATAGGCCATTCGACTCAATATCCCCTTGGGATCCCAATGTGCCCATAGCTCGTGCTTAGTCTTTAAAGCTTATTAAATGTCGGGCTAAGACTGCTACCCGTAGTTAATTTCGGCTTAAAAGATGACCTGCGATATATACGTAATGTGTTTAATAAAAATTAATAAAACTTATATATTATATTTCGTTATTACTTTTACACACTTTTTGAAAAAGGCTTAATCAGTATGTTAAATAATAAATAACCTTTTTGTCACGATGCCTGCGGCGTTATGCTGGAAAACTTGTGGTATTCCGAAAATAACAAGGTGAGGAAGGAAAGAAATCCAGGTGTGTGTGCACCCGAATGGCTGCAGCACATATGGTGGTGTCCTTCCTTATCTAATCTACACATGACCTGATGACTCAGCATCCAACCAGATAGATACAGGTGCTGGACCGTCACACTTTTAAATTGTTATTTTCGACTTTTTACGTATTTATTTACCGTTTTATTATCTTTTTATGTTTAATTTGTATTTTTCAAATTCTTTTACGTATTTATATACCCCTTTTAACCTTTTTATACTTTATTTTTATTTTTTATACTTTTAATTTTAAGAAATAATCGATATCTTTTAATAAAAAGTTTTTGGTCAAGAATATTTTATACTATTTATAACCGTATAAAACTTTAAAAGATTCCGTTATAATTATTAATTTTTTTTAAATGTTAATAATATATTTAAAAATTATAAAGTATATTATATAAATTTTATATAGTATTAAACCTTTTATAGGAATTCGTCGTGCGGAATATTCGGTTCATACGTACGTGTTCATTAGTTGTTCTAAGTCTACTTGGTACGGACGGATTTACACCTAAATACGGCTGCAGCGCGTTTATTCGCGGTGGTAACGGAGCTGAGGGGCAACCATCCCACACATAGCGCACAGACCACCTAGGGACACACCCTGAGCCACCACCATATCCGACACCTTGTATAAAATTTAATAAAATTTAATGTTATTAAAAGTTTTTTATAGAAATAGGTTTAAAAGTACTATTTATTTATTGCTTTTAAACCGTAATAACGTTAAATCGTTCGAATAAATATTTTATAAGCTTTTTATAATAAAAAGTGATATATAGATTTTTAATTATATTCAATTCGCCTGGTTTTAATTATTCGGGTTTGTTTTTATTATATAATAAAACTACTAACGTGCACAATATTTAAACAATTATATAAAAAATATAATTAGAAATAAAGCTATAATAAATAACTTAATTATTTTTAACCGATTTATGTCAAGTATTATTTTCTACATATAATTAGTTATTAATATTAATACTTTTTATACTTATATTATATCGATTAATTAGTTATAATAGCTGGTTTGTTTCAAATTAATTAGGTTATTATTTATAAAAGCTTGGGCGATTATGGCTTTAAGTAGAATATTTAACGGGTTTCCCGTTTAAAGTTGTTAAGTTTTTAAATTTATTAAAAGTATTAGTAATATTAAGTAATCATTGTTATTAAACTAAGTCTATTTTATTATTTTATTATTATTAAATTATAACGGGCATAAAATCTCTTTATAACAATTTATTCATTTTAGTTTTAAGCGCTGTTTTTAAAGCTTTAAAGGTATTGACGATATGTTCGTTTGTACGGGTAGTTTTTATTATAATAACGCTCGTCAAATAAAAATATCGGAAAAGATCTACGGTTAAAAAAGAGTTATTTATAATAATAGAATAATATTAATTTAAAAGAAAGCGCGGTATTCGCTTTATTAAAGTTATAGTACCTGCTTATATAATAATTATATCAAGCGCGTTATATTAAAATTAGAATTCAAGCGGGTAACGTTTATTCGTGTATTAAATTTACGAGAAAAAAAAAGCTTGTTATCGAAATTATGCAAGCTTTATATCTTATTTCAATTAATACATTGAATCTAGGTACGTTATAATTAATTGTTATTTTACTCAAGTCTATCTTTTTAACCGATTAAAATAGTTTATTGAACAATATGTTTATATAGCTAATATATAACTGAGTTACACTTAATTACAGCTAGAAATAAACGTAGTCCATAAATTTACCCCCGTTGAAAAAAATGCCCTTATTATCACATGTTTATAATCCTTGCTAATTTTATTATATTAAAATGTTCTCGTATCTATAGCATTTGAATTAGTAAAGATATCTCGAATAATTATTTGCATTTAATGAAAACAACTTATCGTTTTAAACGAAAAGAAAAAGAAATAAAACGTCAGAAAAGAATTTAATATATTATAAATATCGTTTTAAAAGCTCCAATGTTTTTAAAAGCTATACGAGTTATTAAGCAGCTTTATAAAATAAGGTCGAATTAAAGCTCAAAAAAGGTGTTAAAAAAGCGTGCGTTAATTTTGTTTAAACTGTGAATGTTTTTAAATAAAACGAAATGATTTAATAAGGTAAAAAATTTAACGAAACAAATAACCTAACTATTCGTAAGATTATTTGATATTAATAACGGTAATTAAAAACTTTATAAGCCTTTATATATTTAATACATCTTATAATAAAATGTTAATAATAATAATATAAATAAATCAATAAAATCTAACTTAATAGAAGCTTATCAAGTAGTTATTCAACGATATATACTATAATTAACAGGAATTATTAATATAAAATAACTTAATAAGCTGAAGAAATTAAAGCTTGATTTTTAAAACGAAAAGTGTGTTAATAAATAATATGAAAACCCACATATAATCGATAACAACTATATCGTAACAGTATTAAAAAACGTATATAATTGATAGTAGTTATATCGTAATTAAAAATAAAATAAATAAGAAGAACGACAATAAGAAAAGTGTATTAACGTTAAAATAAAGTAAGTAAAATATTATTTTTTGGGGTTGTAAATATAAATTTAGTTTATAATTATATCGGCTTTTAAAGTATTGCCGGGTTTTAACGCACTTATGTTATTAAGATTAAATATTCTTCGGCTAATATAATAATATTTATTCATAACTATTTAATTACCGGTATTAAGCTTTCAAAAAGGTTACTTTGTGATGGTCTGACCTCCCATCAGGTCTGACACCCCATCTGCAGTAGTCAGTGCGCTGCATCAGGTGACCTGGCGCACAGGACGTGTTGCCTTAACTGCTACTAGATTAGCTGGTGGGCCAGATCCTTCTTTTCCTCTTCACCGAGAGATTCTTACACGTACGTAGTGAAAGCAAGACTGTTATGTCCACTCCATATTTACGCTTCGTGACATACTTTTTACTACGACGAAATTGCTATTATTTATATTTAATAAAGCAATCTTATTATATGGTTTTTAACCATCTATTGGATTAATATAAAAAGTTTATACCAGAAATCTTTAAATAACTTCGTTATAATTATATTAGTATAATTGTTTAACTTTTTAAAAATCAATAGTATTCTTATCTTGTTAAAACATGTTACTACATATCGTAATTTATTGAATATATTTAATTTTAAACGTTTTTAATCTCGTTTTTAATTTCGTATTGAAACAATTATAATCTTAGTTTTATATAAAAAGCTTTAACGGTGGCGATTTTTGTATTAATCCGTTTAGTAATATTACTAAAGTAAAAGCTTAACAACTTACGCTTTTTAACTTAAGGTTTTATATAAGTTTAAGAAATAATACAAAGTTTTAAATTTTAAAGTTTAAATTATTATTTAAATACCCGGTCAATAGTTTGAAAATCTGATATTATATCGTAATAACACTTAATAAACTCAAAATCTATTACCTCGTTATAACCTTATAAGGTTTATATTTTCTTGAGGGTAAAAGTAACGGCAAGTATCGCAACGAGTATAATAAAAAGTAGTTTTAATTATTTAACGAAGTTTAAATTATCGATAATCTCTTAATATTTTTCAACGCTTTATTTATTAACATTACTAATATTAATATATTACGGGTAAAATACCTTTACGTTTAACAATATATGTCCCGTTATTATCGAATTTTATTAATATTTCAAGAACGTTATCATGTTAAAAGATTATATTGATTATATTAATCTTATTTATATAAATAATTTATTAAAACCCGTTAATATTATATCAAATCGTTTGTGAGTATTTTTCTAAATTTTTGTAGCTTTCAGCTTGTTTTTACTTTTGTAAAAAAAAATCCGACCGAGATTAATTACGTGTCGTTTGAATTATTAAGCTTATTAGCTTTTAATGTTTTTCTATAAAACGAAAGATTTTTAAAATATGTTTATTTTTATAAGCTATATGTATATTAAGATTTCAAAAAATCTATCGATTGTTATAACGTAATTAAATTATAATTTAGTTAAGAAGTTTTGCATAATTGGTTTTGAATATATAACCAGATTTTTAACTAGTAAATTTTCCCTATAACTATTAAGTTATTTACGTTATAAAACTTTGTTATTATTACAATAGATTACCTTTTAAATGCTATAATTATAAGGTTTTATAGCTTTATATATTAATAAAAATTAATATTTTTGTCTTCTTTATACTACTATCTTACATCTATAAATTTTTTGTGAATATCAAATTAATATCTTGTTTTTTAATCGCTTTTATAAAAATAATAACTTATAAGCCTTATTATTAAATTTGTTTATTTATAATAATAGTAATAATTCTTTACGCGTATCACGTTAATAACTTAGCAAACTAGTCGTATAAATGTT